AATTTCGTAGTAAAATCAAAATGAGGTGTCATTTCTTCCTTCCTTTCCATTAATACATATTTAAATAAATTGTTCATTTTGTTACTATTATTTTCGCTATGAATAATAATATGGAAAAAAACAGTGTAGACACTATGTGCGCATATTTGAAGTGAAACTATTAAACTGTAGGATTTGAAGGATATATTTTTTTATGAATGCTTTTTATACAGGGTGAGTTTCCTACGGTGTTCTCTATGGGTATCTCGGAAATTACTGGAGATAGAGAGTCGGTTAAATAGGGAAAGAATTGCAGTTTTGTGGGGTCATAAATATGCGCCTTTCCGATTGAAAAAGTTCATGGCTTACTAGATATTTTGAAAAAAACAAATTTCGGCATTTTTAAAAATTGTCCCTAATTCCATTATAAGCTATTTTAGACAAAAAGTTTTCAGATAAAAGTTGTAGATAATCACATCCTTAATAAGATTGTGTCCTTCGTTTTTTTCTAAAACCTGTCATCTTTGACATATGAAAAACATATGTTTTTTTAAATAGAAACCATAGTTGGCCATGACTTCATAAAAAACGCCATTTTTTAAGCTTTTTAGCGATATAACCTATATATGTTTTCTTCCAAAAATTACTGAGTTATAGCCAATTCTTATCATTTTTAAACAATTTCACTTAGTTAGCCATGGAAACACGTTCAATCGCCGTTGCTCTCAGAAATGTGAAGCTGTCGCATCGAAACTTTGTAAATTAAAGTAAACAAAAATTGTAAATATGAATTTCTCAAATGAAGAAAAGCGTGTAGATACTCGCGCATCAATAGAGTGTTTCCAACATGACTTTCATTATGACCCCCCTCCCATATGAAAGAAATGTTAAAAATTATTTATATCATAATAATATAAACTCAGGGATAGGAAGAGGTGGACTAATTGCATGGGCCTCCTCGATCACCTGACCTATTCATTTTATTTATGCGGTATGGTTAACAATAAGGTTTACAAAAGAACTTATGAATTAACAGAGGTACTCGAAGTGGCGGTACGAAAGTTTGATTAAGTCGACCGGTCCTTCTGTGAGAATAGGTAATAATTCAGTTTTAAAAAGATGTAACTCAAAACAATGGCGGATTTTTTGAACATTTTCTAAAATAACTTAAAGTGTATGCAGTGACTGCAGTCATATTATTTTTTTAAGTTTTAGTTTGTGTAATGTAAATTCTAAAGAACCATTTAGTATTATATTCTGACTTTTTAAGTTATAAATCATAACACAATAAGAATGCCATGCAATCTAAGTGAAATTAGTCAAGAAAGATAATAATTATCCTGAACAAGTCTTGAAAATCGTTCTCTAAAAAACATAACATTCACCTGTCAACGTATCCTCGAAAATGTATGGTCAAGAAAAGTTGAACCAATAATTTTACACGCTTTTTTTCATTTGAAAAATTCATATTTACAATTTTTGTTTATTTTAATTTACAAAGTTTGGATGTGGCAGCTTCACATTTATGAGAGCAAAGACGATTAAACTTGTTTCCATGGCTAACTAAGTGAAATTATTTAAAAATGATAAGAATTGGCTATAGCTCGATAATTTTTCGAAGTAAACATATTATAGCTTATATCGCTGAAAAGCTTAAAAAATGGCTCTTTTTATAAAGTCATAGCCAACTATGGTTTCCAATTAAAAAAACATATGTTTTTGTCATATGTCAAAAATGACAGGCTTTAGAAAAAAACGGAGGACACAATCTCATTAAGGATGTGATTATTTACAACTTTTATCTGGAAACTTTTTTGTCTAAAATAGATTATAATGGAATTAGGGACAATTTTTAAAATAGCCAAAATTTGTTTTTTTTTCGAAATATCTAGTAAGCCATGAACTTTTTCAAAAATCTGAAAGGCGCATATATATGACCCCAGAAAACTGCAATTCTTTCGCCATTTAACCGACTCTCTATCTCCAGTAGTTTCCGAGATACCCATAGAGAACATCGTAGGAAACTCACCCTGTATACTTCCAAAAAATTAGAGCTAATATAAGACCGTATTCTAGCTTTATAATTTTATAATGTTTTTTTTTTCATTTTTTTTTAAAAACGATAATTCTATGGCAGCTATGGCCATTAAACCAACATATTACTACATCTATATCTATGACTACCACCAACCAACAATTTATTTTGTGTGGTGGACCACAGCTGTTTTTGTTTAAATGTTTTATTCATTATTCATTATTTATAGTGATTTACTAGTTATTTTTTATACAAGACGATAAAATGGTATTTTATCGTCGACCGAAAAGATTAATTTCGGGAGACGATAATACAATTTTATCGTCGTGTATAAAACAATATTTTTTTCCATAGCGAGTTACGTTTTAAAAAATATTCAGAAATTATTATTTCAAGAAATTTATTACGAATAGAAAAAATATTGTGCTGGGTTGGCGTTGGTTTCTATGTAATTTGACAAATAAATAAAGCTGTCTCTTTAGTTGTCAGTTTTCAATCAATATTTTTTAATTCTTTTTCGTGTCGATTGCTGATTGAATTGGAGCCAGAAATGGCTCAAAACGAAATAAGTAAATTACCAACAGATATTCAGGCTGAGGCGACAAACGCCATATCCAAACTACTCCCGTTTAAATCCCGAATAATAAAAAATAAAAAGAAATACAAAAATTTTTAAAAATGGAAGCAATTAAAAAACGTGCGAGAAGAAATAAAGTTTTTAACCTATCTTCGCTGTTAAAGTATCATTTAATCTACCTTTGCGGTTAAAGTACTATTTTATCTACTATTTTTGATAGATATAACGCATAGATAAATGAAACAAGTTTAGAATGGAAAGTGCCCATAAGGACAATGTAAACACTATTTGGCGCTATTCTTGCAACGGTCGCGACCCAAAACTTTTGAAAATTTCGGAGCGGTTCGGCTTTTTCCGGAATTATATCGCCAAATATTGTTTATTCAAATTTATTATTATTTTCGTTTAATTTTATAAATAAAAGAGATTGTGTTGCATACAAGACACTTTATTTTATATAAGGACGCATGCATGAAATACCTATGAAACATTGGAAACCGACGTTATGCCACGATCCACGATGTGGTTTTTGCAGTTCACAGTTCACAGCACAGCTTTTTAAGTTTTTAATGCCACTTTTTCACAATTATCACCGGTTGGAGTAAATAAAACTTGAATTAAACTCACAAGATAGCAATTATTACTTTGGAAATGGACGCTATACAACACTTTTCGGAATTTCTTTAATGAGAGCGGTTTGGATGTTGAAAGATTATTATCTGATTATTATGATTTTTGAAGATTCTGACTTTGACAAGAGAAAATTATTTCTGTTTTTGTTTGCCGTTGTTCTTAGCGACCGCTATAGCAGCGCCAGATCGCGTATAACGGTCGCGACCCAAAATAATTTCGCGACCCAAAATTTTTACGGGCTTTCCAATCTAAACTTGTTGCATTTATCTATGATATACCGCAATTTTAACAATTGCTATGGAAAAAAGTAATTTTATTAAATTATACGAATATTCTCGTTGATTATTGGTTTGAAATAAATATGACAGTGTCCTCCAATGAAAATACGAGTTACTAGAATGTAGAATGTTCAGGAGGGGAGTTAATCACCGCGACCTTATATATCTATTGTGTGTTCCCCTTTCTTGAGTTATAACGAGTAATAACTCATCATACAGTTTAACAAAAGCCAGTATCTGAGACGGCTCCATAGAGGCCAGCTCTCCATCCTCGACATCAGACGTACCAAAGTTCATGGCACGAATGGTCGTCGTCTCGGCGCATTCAGTGATAAGGTGTTCTGGTGTTTCCCCATTTTCCCCACAAAATCTGCATTCGCCGTTGTTTCTCAGTTTCAGCCTACTGAGGTGTTCGTAGAGGAGACAGTGCCCTGTTAGAAACCCCATGACAATCCGAAGATTGTTTTTACTTAAATCTAGGAAAACCTTTGATTTTTCTCGGTCGTTAGTTCTAAGGAACTTTTTCGAGTGTCTCAGACCGTTAGAGGACACCCATTCCAAGTTACGGATGGAGTCTTCCAGATTCTTCAGTTCCGCTTTCAGTTGGTTCCCGTTTGGAAAACAGAACGGTTCTGGTCCAGTTAGTGGAGTGTTCGCTCCTTTTCTAGCTAGATCATTTGCTTTTTCATTGCCTTCTATCCCTTGGTGAGCAGGCACCCAGAGTAGGAGGACTTTATTTTTTTTGCCTGATTTGTTGAGCTTCTCTAGGCATTCTTTGACCAACTGCGAATTGATGGTTACTGAGTTGATCGCGTTAAGTGCTGCTTGACTATCGGATAGGATGGCAATTTCCTGTTTTTGATAGTTCCTATCTAAGATAAATTGTACGCATCTTTCGATAGCGCAAATTTCGGCCTGAAGGATACTGGGGTAGGTGCCCATTGGTTCGGAGTATTTAGTTTTCGGCCCAAATACTCCTATCCCTGTCCCTGCTTTCGTTTTGGAAGCATCAGTATACGAGTTACTAACTCTAAATTGTAATTCTGAGCTGGCAAATGAGCTAGGTGCTTTACCTAGACTCGTTTGCCGCTATCGATGAAAATATGCATGAAAACTTACTTTCTGGCACACAACCAGAGGATATTGGTACACATCAAGGCTAGTACAGTATTAAGTTTATTATAGTGATTTTCTTAGCCGCGTTTGGTACAGATCGTTACCCAGTGTTGCCACAAGCTTATTTTTCATCGGGGTAAAATAGCGGGGTTAAATTGTTTTATAAAGGGGTAGATCTAGCCAGAATGGGGTGGCTGTGGCATCACTGCCGTTACCACTTTTCCTCTCGCTAGCTTGTGCGTCAGGGCCGTCATTCAAGGCCGTGTGTCAAGTTTTAAAAAATGAGAAATATAATGAGAAACCAAAATTAAGGTCTATTTAAAAAAAGTCCACAAAAAAATTGAATATAATAATAGCTTATTATTTCTTTTGCTTATTTCAGTAAGAAGTTCATTCAACAACACGAAACCCATCAATGGTGACATGACGCGCGACGACCAGATGAACGAAATGGTCAATTTGGAGCTGATCAACTTGAAGCCGATGACCAATGGCAGTGTGGACGCTCCCTACGAAGTGAATTCGATCAGCGAGATCCCTGTGAAAAAGGGCAACGACGAGGAAAGAAGGATTTCCTACGATGAGTATTTCGTACCTGTCAACGAACATCGCAAATACATGAGGTAAAACCCTTTACTTAAGTTTAAAATTGGTAAATAATGATGAATCATGAAATAAAATATCTCCCTGGCTGGACTGGCATTGTCTTTAATTTTGAAACTTTACGCAACGTTTCGGTCAAATATATTATTGCCCATTATCAAGTCTGAAGTAACCTATCGTAAAACTACTTACTGAGTTTATACACTCACCGGCACGATAAAAGGACACCTTAAAATTTTCATGTATTTTAATGTTTTATACTTATAAAACGACAGCGATCTTCATTTCATAGCCATCTCGGACGCCGTTTCTTTTTCGATCATAGCAGTACCTGGTAGATGCACTTATTATCTTGTTTTGATGTCTCCGGTCTGGTTTTCGTTAAAACACACACATTTTATGTAGGTATCACAAATTATATTTGACAATAAGCTTCATAAAAATCCTAAAAAATTAATATTCGGGTTTATTTTTTATTGATGCCCTCTAACGGACAAACTTTTGTATAAAGATGCAAATGTTATGTTATAATATTAATAACACCCTGTATATTTTGTAGGTCTGCTTTGGAAAAATAAATTCTCCAAATTTTTTTTTCAAAAACCATGAGATGTGGCGTTTTTATACAAGAGACAAAAAATGTAGTAAATACTAGAGAGATTATTTTACGAAAATAAAATCTGTCGTCGGTGGAGTTGGAAAATATTTACACTAACATTTTTGTGTAGGGGTGGAGGTAGTTTTTATCCTTCCCGTATATTCTCTTGATTTTGGTGAAAGTCGAAAATTAAAGCACTTAGTAAAACATGGGTACACCAAATCTCATTAAAATCGGAATAACGGTTCTTAAGATAGCTTAAAAAATGTGTTTATTTATTTGGTGCTCTCTGTACAGGGTGGTCTGAACTCTATTCCGGAAACTTCGGCAGCATATTCTGCAGATAAAAATAAGTAACAAAGTCCGTATAAATGTATGTCCTAAAATGCTTAGTTTAGGAGATACAGGGTATAGAAATTTCATTTTTATTTCGATTTTTTTTCAAATAATTTCTGAAGTAACGTCAATATTTAGATGAAAATTGGTATCTGGAATTTTTGATTTTGATGAATATATGACTCCTACTTGTAGAAGGCGCCACCTACATATTTTAACTGGTTTGAAGACTATTAACTTTTCGTCCGTACCTGTATAAAATTACTGAGTAAAAAGATATACATTTACGACGTTTTTTACGTAAAAAAGGTCTCTTGGTTAGAATCGCTACCAGTAATGGTTCTCGAGATATTTGGAATCTTAATTATCAATCAATACCTGATATCATTGACATAAATAACATATTGACTAAATAGTTATTAGACTGAAATCATAAATTTGAAATGTTTTTGTGCCAACAGTTCAACAGAAACTATTTTATAATATAATTTTTTCGAAGAAAAATTTATTATTAATTTAAGAAAATAAAAAGTTCTACTCAATATGTTTATTTTTTGTCAATAATGACATGTATTGACTTTTTATTCTATTTCGGAAATTATTTTGGAAAAATCGAAATAAAAATGAAACGTCTACAATCTCCGAAACTAAGCGTTTTAGGACATACTTTCATACGAACTTTTTTGCCTACTTTTATCTGCAGAATATGCTGCCGAAGTTTCCGGAATACGGATTAGACCACCCTGTATAACGGACAAACGAGGCACTTCTGTACCGGGTGGCCAACTACGAATGAACGCCGGCTGTATCTCAGAAACTACTTATCGTATAACTTTGGGAAACAAATTCTTATAAGTAAATAGATCAAGAGAAATCGCTGGAAATTATTATAGCCAATCAGAAAACTACTAGATAGAATACTACTGTTGTAATCATCGAGAAATTTTGAAAATTTTAGAATTTTTTTTTGATATAGAGTATTTTGCTCTCTCATAAAATAAAGTGGAGGGGGAAGGTTAAACTTGCTTTTATTAAAATAAGGAGAACTCTGGTTTGGGTTAGCCGATTTAAACAAACTAGGGCTCGTTTAAAAGAGCTTTTCTTCCTTAATGATCTGCAGTATAAATTTTGTTTCCATAATTTTTTTCGTAGTAACTAGAGGGCGCTGTTTGTCATCATAACAGATATTGCGCTTTTGCATAAAAAATTTAAATAGGAAGCTATATTTCTGTTTGCACCGTTAAATAGAGCACAAAATTTCCAAAATATCAGCGCCAAACCGCAACTTTCTATCTTCTCTCTAACCGGAGTTACTTTAATAAAAGCACGTTTAACCTTCCCCCACCACTTTATTTTATGAGATGGAGCAAAATACTCTATATCAAAAAAGTTACAAATTTCTCGATGATTACAATAGTAATATTTAAAATACCTGTTCACCTGCATATTTTTGAGAAAAATCCTGTTTTCTGATTGGCTATCAGAGAAACGCCCCCTAGCGGACATTTTTCGAACTTGAAAATCCAGCAATTTCTCTTGGTCGATTTACTTATAAGAATTTTTTTCCCAAAGTTATACTATAAGTAGTTTCTGAGATACAGCCGGCGTCCATTCTTAGTTGGCCATCCCGTACAGAAGTAAATTGTGTTCAATGAACCTATTTTGATTCCAATAATACGTAGTAGTTCTATGTCCACGAAATATTGGGACACCCTGTATTTTATTAACATAATCTTTATTATTTTTTCAGAGGCGAGAAATTATACGTTACGGCGGACAAAAGGAACAAGAAGAACCGCAGCAAATACCTCTGCTGGATATTGTGCGTATGCATTGTGGCCGCTGCGCTAATCATTGGAATCTTGGCAGCTGGTGAGTAAAACACTTTCACTCTCGCTGCGGACACTAAAAGAAAAGAAAAAAAGAACGCACGCAAACACGTAAAAAATCTTCCGCTTTGATATACGTTGCCGGTATGTCACCGAAAAGTCAACAAACCGATTTTACTTTGTATCGTTTAACGATCTTGTCATATTGCTTTAATTGGTCGAAAGTGTTGAAAATCATCGGCTGGGAGCGCTTTCGATAAACATCTTTAAAGGAAAGATCAATTTAATCAATTAAATTGAATTAAAATTATCGTTCGGGCATATTTCAGATTGTTTTAGAATTAATTTAATTGTTTTAAACTGGAAAAAGTAGAAACTTAATCTCGGAATTACTTTTTTTGGTACTCAATTTTTATATATTTTAATTTATCATCTATAGGGTGTTTAATACAGGGTAATTTGTTATACGGGGTCAGTCTTAAAGAAGTGCAAATATTGTCAGGTATGGTAGATCTCCATAAAAGAATGGTATATTGTTCTATTAGGAGTAAAAATGACACTTTTTGTGGTAAGGCTGTACGTTTGACACAAAAAGCGAGGCACAAAAAGTAATTTTTACTCCGAATAGAAAATGCCATTTTTTTTTCAAACGCCACAAATCATTTTTTAAACAATTTCAAAAGTTCCAAATAATATTAAAAGATTTAAAAGTCATATATTATGTAATTATATATCGAGAAACAATGGTTACCCTAGTTGAATTTGGCACTTTATGTCAGATTACAGTTGAGGGTTGGAACCTTTGGTGTTACACAGCAAAATAAAAACACTAAATCACCACAATACACCAAAACAGTTTTACTTACACTGGACGCGCGTTTCGCTAACCATGTTAGCATCATCAGCAGATGATTATAAACTGTTTATATAAACTGATGATTATAAACTGTTTATAATCATCTGCTGATGATGCTAACATGGTTAGCGAAACGCGCGTCCAGTGTAAAAGTAAAAGTGTTTTGGTGTTTTGTGGCGATTTAGTGTTTTTATTTTATTTTATGTCAGTTTAATAATATATTTTCGTACAACGTTTTCGTACTTTTATGCTTAGGCGTAAAAGTGCTTTACTTTTATGCCTAGGCGTTAAAATGACTTTTTTATATTGCAATCACGTCGCAAAAATTAATACTTTTGTGACGTTTGAAAAAAAAACATATTTTCTCTTTACCGTTTTTCAAATACATATGTCCAAAATAACCGAGTTATTCAAGTTTTACAAAAAAAAAATCATTATTTTTTAAAAAAATTGAGAACTACCAGATTTTTTCTGTATTTATATCCTTCTTAGTGCCGTAAGCATGGTAATATCAGAGATTAAGAAATTATATCCTTATCGTTAGTTCATAGATTAATTATTATTAGTTACTCACTTACCAACGAAAGATATAAAATAGGAAAAGATTACATTAAGAATATAGCTGAGTGTAATGGATATGATTCTTCATCATTGTAAGTCTACACGTGTTCCTGGGGTCGAAATATATCACTCCTAAAAATATTTAGCATATATTTAAGTCTAACACTTTATAAACGTTGGGTCAAAAACAAAGATATAATATAGAGATATAGATATATTATCCATTGCAATTTTGGGGAAGTGTAATGTTCTTATTTTTTAACTTGAAAATTAAAAGCAATAGAGTAATGAAATTTTATAAGAGTATTACCAATATGAAAACACAATATGTATAAATAAAATAACAAGTTGTAGACATAGGAAACTGTATGTATTTGTTTTTAGTTGGAGTTATCGGCAACAAAACCCCCATAGTTCTTAAAGAAATGACAGCAAGGCAATTCAACGACAATCAACCATCCGTTAAAGGGGCTGGAATATTTAATGACATAGGTAACGCTCAATCTAGCACAGAAACATCACTACAACCCATAATACCCAGTATAACGCACCCTCCAAAAGGTATACTATAGATTGTTTTTAATATACAAAGGTATATTTTATATTTAAATCAGTTTTAGTACCACGAGCATTGGAATCTGAAATAACCATCGATAACAGGGAATTTTCTGAAGCACTGAAAAACAAAAATAGCTACGAATATCAACTGTTAGCTAATACTATCGAGGAGGAATTGAGAACCTACTTACTAGCTAATAATATGTTGAGATCAAACATTGGTAACTTGGATATCAAGATTATGGATTTTGAGTAAGTAGTTTCCGTATAACTAATATATTAGTATATCGAAAATTTTCATTTTTTAGGTCTGGAAGTATAGTGGTGAAATTTAGAGTGGCATGGCAGTACAAAGATGTTTCAAACTCTAACAACGATGAAGTAGATAAAGAAATATCTAATGAAATTAACAATATTCGCAGGAACAACGGTGATTTTATTCGAGAATATCATTTAGCACCTAAAGTTGTATCAGTGGAACAAATTACTGATATATGTCAAAACAACAGTAACGGCTGTGAACATGGTTGTGAATTCGATTATTCGGAACATCTAGATTTTGTTTGTACTTGCCCAGACAACCAAGTTATAGATGAGGATGGTAAATCTTGCAAGGAGAAGTCTATTACATCGTCTGACACTTTTGATATACATGGAGGCTTACATCAGGGACACTCTGACTTTACCACTCAACATTCTACAAGCTCAGCGGAAAAGAAAATTCAACAGTCATCTGAACACAGTATTCAACAATGGAATGTTGAGACAAATCCTGAGCCTAGTCCTGAACCAACTTCTGAACCAAGCCCTGAGCCAAATGCTGAACCAAACCCTGAGACAAGCTCTGAGCCGAATCATGAACACAGTCCTAAACTGGAACCAAATTCTGAACCGGAGCCAAGTTCTGAACCGGAGCCAAGTTCTGAACCTGTGCCAAGTTCAGAGCCGGAGCCAAGTTCTGAACCAAGTCCTGAACATGAGCCAAACTCAGAACCTGAGCCAAGACATGAATCAAATACTGAGCCAAATGCTGAACCAAGTCCTGAGCCAAGTGCTGAGCCAAATACTGAGCCAAACCCTGAACCAACAGCTGAACCAAACGCTGAACCAAATCCTGAACCAATTTCTGAAATAATGGCTAAACCAAGCTCTGAGTCAAATTCAGAATCTATTACCGAACCAACTGCTGAGCCTAAGTCCGAACCAAGTGCTGAACCAGTTCCTGAACCAAATTCTGATGTATCTTCCCAAGAAGTATCTAAGGAAAACTCTGAGTCCACTCCAGAGCCAAATGCTGAGCCAAATTCCGAGCATAACGTAGTATTTGTTTCAACGTCCTCTTTAAAACCTGAAACAGAACACGAAGAAACTCATAAGGAATATCAAGAGGAGTCTGCATCAAAAGCTTATGAGGTTCACGAATATCATAACGTTATATTTAATGCTGCTCCGACGGAACATTCTAACGAAACTGAAATTATAACAATTGCACCAGAACCAAATACTGAAGAAGTTGCTAATGTAAAGCAAATATCAATTTCACACCACATTGACCATGACACCAACTCAAATAATCATAAAAATACACCGATATCAGGGATGGAATCCGATACACCAGTAGATGTTTCGAGTTCAGAAATAACTACTAAACCAAACCAAATAAATACACATGATCAAGCTGATTATGAAGGTCACCAACATTTTTCAAGTGAAGAAGCAACATATCTAGAACCGTCTATGATTTCTTCAAACTCAACAAAATCATACACAGAAGAACACGCCAAACAAGAAGAAGATCTTAACGAAATCAGAAGTTCAGAAGAATTAGGTGTCATTGGTATAGAGCACACTTCAGAAGCGTTAGATATGCATAATCACACAACAGAAACTAATAATAATAATAACGTCTCAAAAACACCTGATAGTTCCAGAGAAATATTCATTCCTGTAGTAGTTTCTTATCAAACTTCAACAGAGCCAAGTGAAAATATGACTACTATTAAAAATTTAGAAGAAGAAACAAATACATTTAAACCTATTTTGAACGATAATGTATCTCCGAAACTAGTAAAAGCATTAGAATCTGAAGAAGAAACATCCACAACATCGGAAGAAGTTAATACATTTAGACCTATTATTCACGAAAATGTATCTCCAAAATTGGTAAAATCTATTTCGTCTAATGAAGAGATATCCACAACATCCGAAGAAATAAACACTGAACAAAGTAGAGAAGAAATTACAACTATTAATATTGATCTGAACTTGAAGGAACATCCAGAAAATATTTCTTCAATCTCACAAGAACAGACAACACAATCTATTTTCAACCATGACACGTTGGTCAATAACATGACAGAAAAAAATCTAATCCAAACATCCACTCTTGTAGGAACTGTTCCTTCTGAAAACACAACTGTTGCAACAGAACCTACAGAAAAAATTCCGGTGTTTCACCATTTTGATCACGTAGTTACCGAAAACATGTCACCGTTCTTACCCGAAATAGAAAACGACACTTTGGTGAATATTCTTCACTCTGGTGATCACTGGTACCCGTACCACAACGACACCGAAAGAAACGAGTCTGACGATGGGAATATAGAGAATTCTGATTTCAACAATATCGTCGAAACAAGCCATAACTTAGAAAACGAGATATCATCTCATGGCAAAGGAAGAAACTTCAATCACGATGTTGTTTCCGTAACTACAATAATTCCTAGTACAGAAAATGCTACATTAGATAAAAGTTTGGATGTAAACGTTGAACCCTTACATACTGATTTTAATGAAACTGCTTCTATTTCACACGAAAGTAATACTTTAATTAATGAAGCAGAAAATGGAACTTTATTATATCCAAATGACATGCCAATTATTCAAAATACAACACACTTAAGTAAAGATAATAATACAAAAGAAGAACACAATTCTGAAAACGAAACATACTCAAATGGTTTGGTGCAAGTTAGTAATGACAGTCATAACGAAACTTCGACGGATTTAGAAAAAGAAATTCAAACAACCGAACAACCTGCTCAAAGCAGTGAGGCAACCACTAAAGCAGGAAATATGTTTGATCAAGATATAGTTACTATGCTCTATAACTCTATTTTGGACACAAATCATAAAGAGTTCAATAATTCTTTGGCTGACTTTCTTTCAAAACAGATCAACGATTCAAACAAGAACTCGACGGTTGAAAATACTGTAATCGAAATTTATAAGATTCACGATACCAATAAGGAATCGAACAATATTACAAACGCTATTACAGACGACAAGAAAATTGAAATCTTACCTACTTCAGAAAATGATAAGTTGTTACTTGTTCCCTCAGCTGAAACAACAGAAGGTAAAGAACTACCTACTTCAACAATAACTATTATAACAGAAGGTTTTACTACATTACCCAATGAACAAAATGAAATAACTACTGAAGCATCACATGTATTACCAGAAGAAAGACATAGTAATATAATTCTGAACAATTTCGAACTTAATAATGTAGTCACAACAGAGCATACTTCAACAGAAGCATTTAACCATAGCTTAAGTCCTAATGAAGATAGAGAAAATACTACACCATACTATAGTATTAACGACGATGATTTGCTAGCTATAGATACAACTACCCTTGAATTTGATAATCTAACCTCCTCATCTAATTCTAGTAGTATAAATATGTTAGAGACAGCACAAGTACTGACTAATAATACTCAAGATATGAATACTACATTAGATACAACTACTGTTGAAACTGATTCTATGTTAACAACGATTATGCCACGCAGTACAACAGCTGAAGTATTAAAAAATGTATCTAGCGAACGTTTAAATGAAGTTATTTTAGAATCTACAACTGTAGTTGTTGAACCAGTTACAAACTCTGAGAGTTCTTTGGAAGTTACTACTACCATACTTTCCACAAACACTACTGTAAGTACTCCAAACACTACAGTAAGTGATTTGAATAAAGATAGCAATAATTATATTGTACAAAATACAGTGAACGAAACAGAAACATCAAATACTACAACTGCTACAGAAATGAACGACATAACAACTTCGGCAACATTTTTACAATCGTCTACCGAGTCTGTAAGCAACGTTACAGTAGAAATATCAACTGAAAACTCATTTAATACGTCTGTAAGTCCTAGTAGCTCAAGCCAACCTGAAACAAGCTCAATAGATATAACGACTATCAAGATCAGTAATGACCTGTCAAACAGCAATCACACTGAAAAAGTTAAAAATAACACAAGCACTATAAAAGAAGAACTGAATTCTGACCAAATTATAATTAAATCGAATCAGCCAGATCTTTCGGAAGATCTTTCTGTAGCTCCATTAGAAGTTTCAAATAGTATTTCTAGTACAGTAGATGACCAAGACAATCAGTCGAAAGTTACAGCATCTACTCCTTCCTACAAAAGGTGAGTTATTAACATAAACTTTGAGTTGTCTGTATTTTATTTTGTTTTTAATCTTGATCAGGTGATTCAATTCAACTTAGCTCAAAACGAAGGAAATCAGTACACACAATATTGAAGAAGAAAAACATGAAAGCTCACACATGGTAAAACAAGATTATTGTGATGCCAGTATTAATTATATATAGTTTACTTCTAAGTGAAGACACCAATATTTTCCATTTCAATCCTAAATCTTATTGTTTCTTAATTTCCAAAAAAAAAAAACATTTTGTTGCAATACACAGCATTTCATTTTAAGGTGTCAAAACTACATACTTCTTAAAAACATTCCTTTACTTTTAGATACTTAAATTATATTGTATAAACTTTAATTATCTCTTAACTTATCCTATTTCCAACTGCTCTGTTATGTTTTATTTTAATGTAAGTTTCATATAAGATAATATTTTTTTAATTTCAAGTTTATTTTGATATTACCTACGACTTTCAGAAGTATTTAACAGAAAATTATTAAGCTTTATATAGTGGTGATACATATCTATATACTTAACGTCCTATACATATTAACAGTATAAAATATTTTAAGACTATATAAAAAAAATTTCTACTTTTACCATTCATATTAAACTATGTTTCCCAGTGTATTTTGTTATGTAAATATTGTATATTTAAATTGTATTTTAACGAGAATAATTGTATAACGATGATAATAGACACTAAAAAGTAAGGTTTAGTTCAATCAGCAACTGTTTATAACATATACAGGGTGGTGCATTGTCGTTGGAACAGGAAATCCCATGCAAACATTGAACTGATCATATATTGGCTCCCCTGTAAAAATTTGCATGCAATTTCCTGTTTCCAGTGTCGCTGCACAACCCAGTATACTGTGTGATAGAATGAAAACGATGTCATACATTAAGTTTTAGTATTGACTATTATTGTGATATCATTTTTATTCATCACACAGTGCCTCTACTTACCAAGACAAGAGATTTGTTTGATAAGCATTCTAATAAAAAGTGGAGTTTAATAAATATGTTGACTGAACCAAACCAAAGAAAATCAAAACATATTTGAAGAAAAATTATTGCTAGTCAAGCATTCCTGTGCCAATATTACAAATATGTTGAAGAATGTATTGAGGAATTTTATACATTATTGTCTATTCGAATTGGAGTGATAATAAATAAGAACAGGTTTTTGTTGTTTTATTATTTTTCTAAATCCTTTTATTAGTTATTGCGTAGTGGCTCTACCCATATGCGAGAAATCCCATAAAACATACGAAAATGGGACACCCTGTACGTAAAAATAATAAAGTAGAATTTCGATACTTCGGACAGATTCTGGAGGAATATTTTTATAATGTTATTGTTTCCAACCTAAACGCAAAACGCTTTATAAACTATATTAAAACTTCATTTTGTTATTATAAAGTGTGCTTATTGTACCGTATGATCGAATAAAAACGGCGTCAACGATGGCTATGAAATGAAGATCGCTGTCATTTTATATGTAAATTTAGATGGGAAATGTCATCGATCGTCATTTCCAAGCCAACTGGACGCCGTTTTTTTTCGATCATACGGTACCTAAATGTACCGTATGATCGAAAAAAAACAGCGTCCAGTTGGCTTGGAAATGACGATCGATGACATTTCCCATATAATTTTACATATAAAATGACAGCGATCTTCATTTCATAGCCATCGTTGACGCCGTTTTTATTCGATCATACGGTACTTATATGCACCCATAAGATATGACTTACTACAATATCCATATTAAGTAATTATTACGAACCTTAATACACATTAAATACTTACATAAAAATGTTAACAAATGTGAAATTAATGCTTAATTTGAAATGAATTGATTGATTTGATTAGTTAATAGATATAGATATAGATTAATTCGTTCTTAAAAAAATGAATTGGTCTTTATCTGTATACTTACTTATCCATTTTTACAGCATTGCTACGTTTCATTTTTTAACACAACATTGTCCTCTGTTTCACTAATTAGTCATTTGTTTCCTTTGTTTCCAATGCCTACCATTTTCTCTTCAATTTGTCTCTGCCTACTCTTCAGTCACACCGTCAAACAAGAGACTTCTGAGAAAAATTCTTTTTCTCCTAGTTCACTTACAATCTGTTACAATTTCTTTATTTTGTACATATGTAGTTTGATTGCTTTTTATTTGTTCTTGATAGATATGATTTTTTTGTTCATGATATTTCTGATTTTTTAATATCTGAAATATTAAATTTCGGAACAGAAAAAAATGGAATGTTAGGTACCTACTTACCGGAACAGAAATATATTATCCTTCCTTCGTTGCGAATGCAATCCAATCTTGCATTTCTTCAGCAAGAGTCGTTTAGTTGGCTCTATTTTTTAGCAATATACGATATTCCTAACTCCTGTACTACAAAAAAAAGTCTACCATAAGACTACATACTTCATCTAACCGTCCATCACACCGTCCATCGTCCAATCCAAGAAAAATGCTGAATGCCGAATATCTTTGAAAAATGCCGACTTTCATTCATTTGCTTTTGAATTTTGTTGGTATCTGGAATAAAAAAGAGGTAAAAATATCAAAAATCAAAACCGTCCGGTTGATAAGAGACGCCGAACTACTGGAGTATTCGATTTGGCGCGTGTAAATATTATTTATATTATTGTATTATTTATTTTGTAACAATTAGCTATTTTAATTTAAAAAAATACAAATTATGATTTTTTTAACAGTGCCATCTGACAATATGCAGTTAAAACTAATTAAAAACGATTACCCCGCCATCTACTAGGAGGTATTCGTAAAAATTCAGTGGTAAAAGAGATCTCCATAAAATTTATTAAACAACTGCGATCCGTCAAAATATCTTGACATGATCTTGACAACTGACAGTTACGTTTTCTAAACGTCAGGTATGGTCAGATGTGAAAACAAATTACCTTTTGAACAAATTAAGTCATTTTTTACGAAGCTAAAATGGAAAATGTGAAAACAGAAGAGATCGGTGATCCGGACGACGATTATTCGGATATAGCAGGTGACGGCGACAGCGAACCCATAATCAACATCGTGCTGCCTCCGAATGCGGCCAGTGGCTCAGCTGCACCAAATAATGGAAACATACCCTTGTTTATTAAGAAATTGCGGAAGATGGTGGACGACGACAATGCCGACGACGTTATCAGCTGGAATGCCAGCGGGGATGGCTTTATAATTCACGACCAATTGACTTTCGTATCGAAAACATTGCCCAAGTATTTCAAGCATAATCACTTGTCCAGCTTCGTCAGGCAGCTGAACCTGTATGATTTTCATAAAATTCAGAACGTTGATAAGGACGAGTTTCAGTTCAGTCATCCGTTTTTCCTTAAAGATGTGCCTCAACTGATGCCTTTGATTAAGAGGAAAGCCACTAGTAAGTACCTACCGTTGAGTAATTCTATTTTAATAGTGATTTAACTGTGTCTTGTATTTCTTTTTACTTGTCGTACACTATCGACTTATTAATGGTATTTGTATTTTAATATAAGTATCACAAACATATTTTATCATATATTTTGTACAATATACTTGCATTCGAAAAAAATCTTTTGTTATACAGGGCAACCTCATTCAACATGGAGTATTGTAGCCACACTATTAGATTTTTAGAAATTGTGAGTGATGGTATTGCTGAAGGACTACTAAAGCTATAATTTAAAATTATTTTCAAAAGGTACAGAGTGTCGCAAATAAATAAAAAATATCAAAGTTGTATTTTTTAAATGGAACACCATGAATTTATAGTTTCTACGATTAAAATAAAGGTAAAATTAATTAAGGTTTAATGCACTTTAATATTACCGTTTTGGAAATATTTACATTTTTGTGAAAATGGGTACAGTAACAGTTGTTTGCTTCATTTCTCTAGGCGTATTTAAGTTTTTAAAACCAAATATTGTACTGAAGTTTTTCTATTTACTAAATTTCGTGTTGCTATAATAAAAATATTCCCTTATACAGAGTGTTTAAACATTTATTTTAAATAATTACAATTACTAGCTTTAAACAGCGATAACTTGTTTAATTTAAATGGAATACCCTTATATTTTACGTGAATCAGATGCACAACTTTATTGCCTATCAAATTGCATTATACCATTCTCTACCTATTTATTCAAGTTTTCATAGAAAATGCAGTTTCTTATAATTTACCATTATATATATTTATCATTATACCCGTGGAATATTGACATTTTAGATTATTTTTAAAGTTTTTAAAGTTTTTAAAGTTTATGTAACAAATTTTCAAAGAGGACAGATACTAATATTGTCGATATAATTTGCTTATTTCATAATAAATAACTTTTATATTAATACGATCCCAGTATTTGAAATACATTAATTCGCTGTTTGCATTGATTAATCATTGCGCCAAATACTATAAACCCTGAATTTTGTATGTATATGTATTAACAATGTGATAGAAAGTAACACCTATTAATTTTATTTCATTTTTGGGCGAATGCTTATTTCTAACAGAGATATTCATATTCATAACTTATTATATTGATTTCTGATTCAAATCCATATTTATTTAGAATAATTTATTAATTAAAACAATTAAGTATGTAATTAATTAATATTTGGGGAAATAAAGGTGGTAGGTATATTTAATTAGTATACTCTTTTACATAGATTTAAATAATTTTCTTTTTGCAAACAAATGGGCTAGCAATATTATCGTTTTTAGCACCGGTACATTTTGTACATTTGTTGTTTTAAAAAAATCTAAAATGTCAATATTCCATGGGTATATTGATAAATGAGGTTTAAATTATATGAAAATACATTTTCTATGAAAATTTGAAGAGAGAGGTAAAAAAAGGTGTAATACAATTTGATAGACTAATAAACTGATTCACGTAAAATATACAGGGTGTTTTATTTAAATTAAACCAGTTATTATTGCCGTTTAAAGCTAGTAATTATTTAATATAATTTTTCACACACTCTGTATTAGGTAGCATAATTTTTATTATTGCAACATAAAAATTAATAAATAGAAAAACTTCAGTACAATATTTGGTTTTAAAAACTTAAATACGGCTAGAGAAATAAACCATTAAAATTGTTTCTGCATTTTCACAAAACTGGAAATATTTCAAAAACGGTAAGATTAAAGTGCGGTAAACCTTAATCAAATTTGCCTTTATTTTAATCGTAGAAACTAAAAATTTAATAATATACAGGGTGTTCAATTTAAGAAAATACAACTTTGATATTTTTTTTATTTGGGACACTCTGTACCTTTTGAAAATAATTTTAAATTGTTGCTTTAATAGTACTCCAACGATCCCATCATTCACATTTCCTAAAAATCTGATCCTGTGCCGAATGAGGTGAATAACCATGTATCACAGAATATCTAGCTACGCAACAGAAGCCTCGTTACATGTATAAAATTGTAGGTAGCAAAAGGAGACAGGCTTTAAAAGTCTGTCTCCAAATCAGATATTTTGATGTGGTAGTTTCGCTACTACATAATAGAGGGCAATAAATTTAAAAGAAAACAGTTTTCTACAAACAAAATTTAAAAGAATTTTGTGCAGTGTTGCCATTATTGTAATTCATATCGTAATACTTCCTGATAAAGCCTACCTTCAAATTTGCTACATCATTTAAACATATTAAAATAGATCAGAGCTGTTTTTTTCAGTTTGCCATGTTAGTTGGAATTAAATCTTAAGAGCTAAATTACAATCACTTCCTGACGTTTGATTGTATAATTGAATCCTGAATTTTCATTGTAATTCGGCGACAATATAATAATTTATTGTTCTACTATTATGATACTACTTCCTGAGGTTCGATTGTGTTCATACCATAGACTTAAAATAAAATATTTTATTTTAAGTCTATGGTTCATACCAAGTTCATATTGTATAATCGGGAAAAAACGGCGTTAGCGATAGCTATGAAATGAATATCACTGTCATTTTATATTTAAATTTATATGGGAAATGTCATCGATCGTCCTTTTCCAGCCAACTGGACGCCGTTTTTTTCAGAAGCATATCCAAGTGATACCATAATATAGTACTATATTACGATACATGGCGTTCGATTGGGCTTAAACTTGGTATACTATATCTTCAGTGACATTGTAATATCATGGTACCATGGAGCATATAAAGTGGTACCTTCTATAGTACCATATTTGATGACATAGCAATATTAGGTACATGGTGGCAATAGGGCTTAAACTTGGTATACTACGTATTTTCGGTGACATTGTAATATGATGGTACTATGATGCATATCATCTGGTACCATAATATAGTACCATATTATGTAGATGGCGTTCGATTGGGCTTGAATTTGGGATACTACGTATCTTCGGTGATATTGTAATGTTATGGTACCGTGGAGCATAATAAGAGGTACCATATTACGATACCATTTCCTGGCGTTCGATTGGTCTTAAACTTGTTATACTACGTATCTTCGGTTATATTGTAATATGATGGTACTATAATGCATATAAAGTGGTACCTTAATATAGTACCATATTTTAATACCATTTCCTGGCGTTCGATTGAGCTCATATTTGATATATACTTGAGTATTTTTGATGACATTGCATTATTATGGTACCATGAAGCATATCAACTGGTACCATAATATAGTACTATATTACGTACATGGCGTTCGATTGGGCTTAAACTTGGGATACTGCGTATTTTCGGTGACATTGTAATATGATGGTACTATGATGCATATAAAGTGGTACCTTAATATAGTACCATATTACGATACCATTTCCTGGCGTTCGATTGGGCTCAAACTTGGTATACTACGTATCTTCGGTTACATTGTAATATGATTGAACTATGATGTATATAAAGTGGTACCTCAATATAGTACCATATTACGATACCATTTCATGGCGTTCGATTGTTCTTAAATTTGGTATACTACGGATCTTCGGTGACATTGCAATATTATGGTACCTTAAAGTATATCGAGTGGTACCATAATATAGTACACTATTATGATATCATTTCCTGGAGTTCGATTGGGCCCAAATTTGGTTTACTTGCGTTTCTTTATAAAGATTTGTTTAATTAATAATTTTAATTTATTTTATGAATTTTAATTTATTGTTCGATGTCGTGACAGCAACTTTTATGCTGAACTAATATATTATTAATTGTACCTGTGTCACTTTTTAAAATCTACCTAGGTCTATAATATATAAATAATGTGGCAAACGGAAGAAATTTGTTATTATAGTATTTTTAGTCAGTTAACATTTTTTGTACTGCATTTTAATAAATTATTTCCATATTTCATTACTAACGTTCCAGCATTAATAAATATCACTATCAATCGCCCTGTATATTATTAATTTTAAAGGTAATTAAAGGTATTTTCTTAGTTAACATTATAAGGTATAGTGTATATGAAAAATGTATATGTTTTGTAATAATATACTTAAAACTATTTTAATAGCCAAAGGAATAATTAATATAAGTGTATCTGACAAGAAAAGAAGAATAGAAAGAAACACATACTGGCATTATATACAATAAAAAGAATGGGATGCCAATTCAAGTCTTTTTGAATCTGGCAACTGTGCATATTTAGCCGAGCTATAAGGCCGTCGACGAGCCGTCGATCCAAAACCGAAAGTTCAAAATTTCTAATTATATTCTGATTATGATATTGTCGCGCCATCTAGTATTCTATTTGTGCAATTTTAGCTCTTTCATTTCGAGTATTTTTCTGTTGCGTAGCTAGATATTCTGTGCATGTATCTTTAAAATTTTAACTTTAAATTAAAACAATTATTTAATTTTAATTAGACAAATAAGTATAATTAAGTTGAAATTTCTTTTATTTAGACCGCCCAAGAGGCCCTACAAACAGCCACGTAGACGCAGTTCACAGTGAAATTCGAGAAGTGATGAATATAGTTAAAGACATCAAAAACAAAAACGACTCGATCACAACCGAAATGACGAAATTGAGACAGGAAAATGCCGCTCTTTGGAGCGAAATGAACTCTTTAAGAGTGAAATATTCAAAACAAACTAAAATCATAAATAAGTTAATACACTTTTTGATATCGTACATGCAGAAACATCACAATTCGAGAAAAAGCGGCAGGACTGTCAGTGCGGTGAATTCGAATAAGTATCTTAAAACGGGACCAAAAATCATGGAGCTGGATTATAAGTATAAGAATAATCCTCATGAGTTTTGGAACGATTTCGATAGTAGAAATTCTCCGTATGATCAGAGCGAGCAGAATTACACAGTGCTTGAACCAGCCGAAGATAATTTAGAAATTGGTAAGTTGCATCTAAAAATGGGATTTACAATATTACTTTTGTTTTTTAAATAGTTGTAGTTTTTATTGCTTTAAGAGTTAGGTGTTTAAATAAAAAATAAGTATGGTATACAGTTAGGTTCATATACATGAAAACTCAGAAAACAAAGAAACTGAAAATGAATGAAAAAAATGTGCATAATCAATCATTATGAAATGAACAAAATTCTTACAGCTTTAGTGTATATTAATAAGTAATATTTTCTTGCCTTTACCTGTGTATTTTTTCTAATTTCGAAAAATCGAAAGTAGAGAAAAAAAATTGGCGTCTGGAGGCACATATAGCCGCCCATACTAAAATATGTTAATAAAAAGTTGGTAGGCAGTTCTAAGTAAAGGAATTTTTCCAATTTTTTTTATCTCAAAAACGGCGACTTTGACTGATTTTGATGTTATTACAAATTTTGTTGCAAATAATATTCCTAACCTTAAATTGAAAACCGCGTTTTGCTAGCTACTGTAATTTTGGAGTTACAATTTTTAAAAATTTTTAACCCCATCCCATACCCCTTAATAAAAACACAGGTATCTCTAGAATTAATTGCGAATTTCGCTATTATATGAATTACGTACATAAATAAAAGCCGGATTTATTTTGCGAAATTCGCATTTTGCAATTCGCATGTATATGAACCTACTTTAAGATTTACTTAATAGTATGAGAGCTAGCATCGTCGGGATAACGAAAATATGAAGAAAACTGGTTCTTTAATATATCTTTGCTATGCTTTCTTAAGGCTGCCGGTAGACGTTGCGTTCACTACTGCGCATGATTTCTGTATTTAACATCTTTTCACTACTGCGCATCACAAATTCGCCCTTTATTTCAGGAACTAAGAAGGCTAGGACAAATCTATGTGTACATATTTAGTTTCATAAAAAAGTAGTCAAGTAATGTGGAAACCGCATCATTGTATCTCTACTCATAAACAAGAAATCCCATAAAACACGAAAACTGGACACCATGTACAGATGTGATGCGCAGTAGTGAACGCAACGTCTATCGGCAGCCAGGGGCGCTATTCTGTACAATCGTCGGTATCGGTAAGTTACCGACAGCTATCGGTACGTATTTGTATATAGTAAACATGTGTTGATTGTTGTTGTCATAGTTACCGATCGGCCCTATGGCAGATATCGCAAATTTGTACCGACGACTCTCGGTATTACTACCGTGAGGTTAACAAGGGCATGGTAGAGATACCGATTTTCGTCGGTACAAATTTGCGATATCTGCCATAGGGCCGATCGGTAACTATGACAACAACAATCAACACATGTTTACTATATACAAATACGTATCGAGAGCTGTCGTAACTTACCGATACCGACGGTTGCCGATGCCGTGTACAGAATAGCGCCCCAGATGGCCCTTACGCTGTTTCAGAGAGCATAGCAAAAGATATATTAAAGAACCAGTTTTCTTGAGGTTCTCTCTCGAAAACTATAATATGATTGCTTAATTTTATGTCTCACTCTAATATAATATTTCAATAATTCTTATCAAACTTTGTTAACCATTAACCGCTAACGTGAGAAATGGAACATAACAACTTACGTGCGGTTTGGCAGACCGCTATACCTACTATTTTTTATGTATAAAACTGTATAAACAAAAACAACTTTTTATCTGGAGCATTTATTCATAAATTATTTAAATTTATCCCTCGATTTATCCATTTAGTTTTTTCAGTATAGGCAGAACGACAGTTTTGTTGTAAAAAATAATAATCTCATTAGTTCAATTCAAGTAAAACGGGCCGTTTTTCGTGTATGCATAATGTTTTACTTGATAATGACAAATGTAGTTACATGATAGAGAGGCAATACTTAAACTATAGAAAAATATACAAAAAACAAAACAAAACTAACCCAAGTCTAGCATACGCAGCTTGATCTCTCTTGGAGAGGTCGAGAACATATCGTCCCATTGCTGCCAAAAGTCACTAACTTACTTTTTATTACTTCCGAGAAAAATACGTCTAAAGATGAATTGCATTACATAAAGATGTTATAGTTAGTAACTATTCGGTATTAAAATAAAACATAAATAGCCAGAAATCGTAGTTAATGACTTTTGCAATCGATTCTCCGCTTCAAAACATAGTTAGTGATTGAATTTGGTTGTTCGGAAAAATGTTAGTTAGTGACTTTTGGCAGCAATAGGACGATATCCGTTTTGACTGTGAACAAGTAAGACTGACAAGAAGAATGTTATGTATAGACAGGGCTTATTAAAATGATGATCAACAAATTGTTTATGCTCTATGTTCGGCTTTATGCGTTTAAAAGACATTTTCTGTAATTTTTATTATGCAATATGCAGTTATTGAATTATCTATAAATACACCCATTAAAGAAGTTGTTGATTAATTCCCTTATTTACAATACAGATAAACACCAAAAATTGGGAATGGCAATAAAACATGCAGGAAAGATAGCTGCAAATTTTAATCATACCCACGTTATATTTTCTGTAATTTTTTTGTCTGTTGTCTGTCGAAATCTCCCCTGTCTCGTTGGACAGACTAGTCAAATATGCCCATCTCTCTCCCAAAACATTGCCTTTTATAAAAATAGTGAACTAGAAAAATATTCAACTTCAACTTGTACACTTGTACAGGGTGTCACAATTTGTCGAAATTTGGAAAAATACACAAACATATCATAATTTTTTACATTTTTTGTTAATTACAATAAATACTTTGACAACATTTTGTATAAATAATTTATAAAATTACTCATACAAAAGTTGTAGATAATTAAATTCTCTACAAATTTGTTCATAACCATTTTTGTCAAAAAAGACAAAGAGGATTCCAATCGCAAAAAACATAAAATCCAATATGGCGAACATGGTATAATGGCAACACATTGATTTTCTCATCTACTTGTCAAATAGAAACTGCCCAAAACTTTCGACTTTCTATTTTTTTATATTTTCATTAAATTATAACTAAAGTTATCGGACTATTACTGATGATTACATTTTTTTTGCAATGGAAAAAAAAGGCGTCAAAGGCGACTGGGGAATGACAATGAACAAATGCTAATTTTGGCGAAGTCATGGCCTTGATGTCATTATTTTTCCGGTAGTCTTCCTTATTTTCTATTGGTGCCTACTGCCAGTTGGCCTTAAGAAGGTTGTAATATTGAGAAAAAAATGATTTTTGAATGGCGTAGTTTAAAATTCAAGAAAAAAATAATTTTTTGGAAATAGATTTGTGTCTGGAGACGTTCTATCAATTTTTAATTTTTTTTTAAATTGAAGAGTGGAAATACCAAAGGGGGTAAGTGCCAAATTTTTCAATATTAATTTGTTACATTAGAAACGTAATAAATACTATACTGCATGTTCTAACAAAAGTTACAAGTGCCAAGCGAAAGCGTCTATTGTTTAAGTTTTATGAATATGTTACGGTTAAGGTCCGATATCCGGTTAATATCGACATTACCCGGTTAATCTCGAGAATAACACAAAACAAAACAACCAAAAACAGAACCAAACCCAAACATTAACCTGTTAATGTCGACATTAACCGGATATCGGACTTTAACCGTAACATATATACATACATATATGTATTTTAAAAATTTATTAGTTTCAGTTCTACTGGGTTTTTCTCCAATTTATCTCGAAAAAATAATTTTGGCACTTACCCCCTTTGGTATTTCCACTATTCAATTAGTGTTAATTTTTTACAAGTTTTATGTCAATTTTTGGTAAACGACGTTTAGGCAGAGTACTTAAACCACCGAGTAGCGACAGTCCCGTTTTCAATTTTCTTTGCGGCTGCGCGAAATAAGTTGTTTATCTGTCATATGAAGAAGCGACGTTGCCACTGTTGCCATTTATCAAATATCTCTATATACTTTATTTCAAGTATGCCTCAGGCAACGGATCTAGGTACTCTGTTGCCAGTGTCAAGTACGCTTTATTTTTAGTCGGACCTCCTTGTGAGTTAGTCAGTCGACGTGTCCCGTGTGATCCTTGTGCGTTTGTGTTTTTAAAAAGTGTTCATCTTAGTATTTCGTGGTTTGGTAATAATTATTTAAAAACTATATTATAATGTCAAGTATTTCTTGTATATATCGGCCTTGTTCAACAAAATGTGGTGATGGTAAATCCCTTTTTACTTTACCGTCAGAGTATGAACGGTAAGTACATTTAATTACTCACTAAAAATACGGTTTGATCGAAAAAAAAAACAGCGTCAGCGATGGCTATGAAATGAACATCGCTGTCATTTTATAGGTAAATTTATACGGGAATTGTCATTTCCCAGCCAACTGGACGCTGTTTTTTTTTTCGATCATACGGTAGTCACAGAACAGCGGTAGTTATTGTTATTAACCTTAAGGCGGATTCACACTCGTGTACTTGGCAAGTATACTATCTTTGTAAACAACATTTTTTTGTAAAGAAACGAAAAATTTGTTTTGAAAAAGACTCGAAACATTTGTTTTTTTTTCTTTCCAGCATCCTTATAAATTAGTATTCTAGATATCTTTAGTAAAGCCCTGTTGACACGATCCAAGCGTACTTGGACCGAGTCAACCGGGTAAAATGTAATACCAGGTAATACTCTATGATCGAAAAAAAACAGCGTCCAGTTGGCTTGGAAATGAACATCGATGACATTCCCCATATAATTTTACATATAAAATGACAGCGATCGTCATTTCATAGCCATCGCTGACGCCTTTTTTCGATCATATTGTACTTTTTAAATTCTTTTTTGCATCAATTCCATTTTTTTTATTACTAAGTTTTATACAAATTATTTTATGTAAAATAGGTAAAAAATAAACTGACAAAAAAAGATAAAAATCGATATTAGGTAAAAGCACAAAAAACTTTTTTTGCATTTTAAATAGCAACCACAAGGTTTCTTTTCAATCTTTTTCAATGAGATTCATATTATATCATTTATCTCTAAATATTATAAATATTTAATTCCACTTCAAATGGTGAGCAGTGTATACCACGTTTATAGGACCACTTCATAAGGTGAGCAGTTAAATACGTTGTTTATCTGTCAAGCACGTGATAAGAGAGAGAAAGAAAATTTGGTCCCACCACATCAAAAGAGCCGACGGTGTCTGTCGCTACTCGGTGATCTACGTACTCTGGTTTAGGGCTCCAACACACTGACGACCAGGTCGCACCGGCCAGGCCGCACCTACCTCTAAAACCATTAAATCAAATGAGATAGCGCACACTAACATCCTGGCCGTCCGTTGGTCGTTGCGACCAGAAGACTGCACGGAAATATTATTATTTTCTGCCGCTTGTTGCCGGTTTTCTTCCAAATTAATAATTTTTCAGATGAAATCCCTCAAATTCAAGGCACAATATTTTATTTTCTATAAGATATAGTGTTTTAGTGTAGTTTTTTCACACGTGCAGAAAATCCAAAGAAATAGTATACAGACTGGATCAAAGGTAAACTTAAATCTAATCCCTTTTTTTTATCAAGGATCGATTCTAGTAAAAACTCAAAACATTTTTATATGACATACCTACTCTATTTATGGTTGGTATGATACCTGTTATTATACCTTTGAGTTTCGATGGTAAAAAATAAAAAAAAATAATATTTAAAGTTTTTCTACAGCCACTTGTTTTTTTTATTAAATTAGTTTTTTTAGTTGTATTGTAGTCATGTACAGATTTTGCGATATATCGACCGTCTTCTGTTATGGACAGACGGGGCAGTTTTTGAACATTTCTCGCGGAATTCATTAACTCAGTGGGGGTGAAAGATACCCTCTCATAACTGCTAAGTATTTCTAATTCTTGTCTAAATTATACGGAAGAATAGGGAACCTTTATTCTTCCGCAAATATATCCGTATGATTAGATCCATGGGCACTAAGTCAGGTGGCCTCGACGGCCAACGGCTGGGATCTTGGTTAGCTATTCAATTATTCTTGAAATTGGCTGCAAAAATTTGCTGATAACTTCAGCGTTCAGAGGCGGGCGTCGTCTTGCTGGAAAAATATGTTTTCGAGTTCCATTAAGGGCATATCATCAATAAGGAGTCCAAAGCCTACTAGTTAAAAGTGGCGAACTTTTAAAAATTCTGTATTTCGAAGGGGATTATAACAAAATATCAAATGTGCTATATTTTTGCAAAGGTAATTTTAAATTCTTTTCAGTTAATTAAAAATATAGACGGTGTCCCAAATAAAAAATCAATTTTTCTGTTGATAACTCTTAAATTATTAATTTTTAAAAAATTATACTTAAACCGTCAAAGTCTACGTAAAAAGGTGCTTTGGAAATGTTTTCATAGAAATACAAAATTTTCCAAAGCAAAAAAGTTACAGCGATTTGTTAAAAATGCACATTTTTGAAAAACACCCCGTAACTCCGAAACGGTAACAGATATCGATGTGCGGTTTTCACCATCATGTTTTTGATGAAAATTGAGCTCCAGACAGCAATATTAGTTTTCGTCTATCTCCTATAGAAAAAGGTGTTTCCATTTAAAAGCGTCGAATTTGACCCACCCTGTACAAGGAGGACAACTGTATTTTAAATATTATATTTAATTCAACGTTTTTCAAACAAGGTTCACTAAACTATATTTCTACTAGGTACTTTATTTTGAAAAAAAAATTAAGAAAGTAACTTCAACATTCATAAAAATAGAAGTAATTACTGTTGATTCTTCGTTATATTGTAAACATTGAAATAACTGGAAGCTAAACTTTCTACCTGCATATATTTAGAGCCAGTGTCTGACGATCTTTTTTTACGATGGCCCTAATATGTTTACTTCTAAAGTCGATAAGGGCGCTCTATCAGTAGAAAAAAGAAACAGAATATCTCCCTTTTTGTCGGTCGCGCGTACACAATACTTTTTGTTTGTTGTGAATAGCAACTTCGCTTTTTAGTTAACTCGTATATTTTAACATTTCTGAAACAATATTTTCTAATTGGTAAAACGTAAAAAATCGTTAGATCTGACAACTCTGTTGACACTGGTCGTTCATCTGGCAGCAGCTAAAGACGCAATGCATCCGGCCAGCCGACGGCCAGGTCGTTGCGACCTGGTCGTCAGTGAGTTTGAGCCCTTAGTAGAGATTGACTTCGCCAAAATTATCATCGATTGTCATTCTCTAGCCGTCTTTGACGCCGTTTTGTTTTCGATCATACTGTACTTCTGGGGTTTAACCCGCGATTTAAATTGAAAAAATGTATTAATTACATCGTGATTTTCCAACAACACACGTTTCTATCAGACGTTGGGTTGATCTAAAATCTTTATTTTTTCAAAATTACTTTCTTCTTGCAGGAGAACAATCTCAAGCCAACACGTCCAATCCCCAAACCATGTCAGTCTCATCCACCATCGAAGAACTTCTCTCCACCGGCAGTCCCTTCAGCCAAACATCAGAAGCCTCCATAGACCAAAACTTACCCGTCATAGACCTGGCAGCGGCCAGTCCATCCTCTAGCAACGATCCAAATTCGGCCCTTCAAAGAACCAACAGCAAGGACAACCTGGGCTACTACATCGACAACAGCCAGGTGGAGCTCAGCTCCATCAAAGAACTACTCAAGGGCATGTCGCAAGAGGACATGGCCAACTTTTACAAACTCCTGAACGAGAACTACAACAAGCCCCAGGACAATGAGCTACCGGGTGATTTGACCTTGGAGCCTGACGACGACATAGCAGAGAAGGAGTTGATGGCCTTGACGGAAATGGCGGCACCAGTCGATTTCCCCGAGGAATTGGACGTGTCCTATACGCCGGACGTGAAAAAGGTTACTTCCGATTTAGATAAAAACAGTCGTTTGAGGTTAAATACGAACAGGGTGCCGCAACCAGTGGCGTCGTCGTCGGCAGGTTTAACTAGCGAACTGAATACGCCTCAGATTGATATGGGGCTTAGCACGGCTCAGTTGGACTCGGGGCTCAATACGCCTCAGTTAGAGCTATCACTCAACACGGACGATCTGTTGAATAACATTTCGGTCGATCAATATTTCAACATGGATTAAGGGTTTATTTTTTGTTGTTGTTATTATTCGTGTTTCTACAGTAATAGCGAGATGTAATAGTTTTCATTTTTGGAAAATGGTAGATTTGTCGTTACTTTGCGTATTTCACTTAAAGATTGTTAGATAAATTGAACAGAGAGGTTATTGTACAGGGTGGTCAATATTGGTATATTTTAACAGGAAAACTTATTTCCCTGACTAGGTAGAGTAAAACCGACATGAGGTGGATTTCTGAGACTTGTTTAGCTTTCCGCTACTCGCACCTTCTTTTTGTAGGTTAATTTTTACTGAGAATCATGTGAAAAAATAATTTGCATGCCATACTAATAATTATACCGGGTGTCTCTCGAAAGTGGCTCACCCCTATAACTTTTTAATTTTTTCAGATAAAAAAAACGATATTTGGTATGTTAGTATGTGACATAAATTAGGATTGATTGATGAATTTAATTGCTTTTGGTCACTTCCTGTTTCACCGGAAATGACTACAACTTTTGATTTTTAAATGGCACCCTCGGTATTTTTTTACTTTATTCGATAGAAAATGACACTCTGAATAGAATGACATATGTCAACTTTTGACATTTTCGCTTTAAAAAAAATAATTTTATATTAATATTTAAAATGTCAATCTAGAATGCCATGGTTGTGCTAAAATAAACAGTAGTGTAATGTCAAGGAGCCTTGGAAAAATAGTTTTGATCGTCTAATGTTTTCCATGTCTTGTCCTGGCCAGTTAAAAGATGCCCAAATCGTATTTTGAATCATATCTCATTTTTTTCAAATGGAACGAGGATGGCTCTTTAGCATATTTGGAAAAAGCATTTTTTTACTAATAATTTGGTACCACACACTTGGTATTTCGAGTCAAGTTGTCGTTATGAACCGCATGTTACAATTTGAAATAAATCGTATGCGAAAATGTCAAAAGTTGACATATGAAATGTCGTTCTATTCAGAGTGTTATTTTCTATCGAATAAAGTAGAAATATACCGAGTGTGCCATTTAAAAATCAAAAGTTGTAGTCATTTCCGGTGAAACAGGAAGTGACAAAAAATAATTGAATACGTCAATCAATCCTATTTTATGTCATCTAACGTACCAAGTCTATTTTTTATCTGAAAAAATTAAAAAATTATAGGGGTGAGCCACTTTTGAGACGCACCCGGTATAAAATATACCCATTTATTTAATTTTTAACAATTGTAGACATTGAAAAACTTGTAAATTGTTATTAAATATTAATAGCCTGAATTTTCGGATTCGGAGACTGCTTTGGTCTTATTTGCTAAGCTATTGTTGATGTCCATTCGGTGCACTTCAAACATTCCATGATTTCTTGGCCAAAAATAACACCTTGCTTTGCCAATTTTGGACCTTTTTTGCACATGTAATGTTTCAAGATAATGTAAAGACTGTCTAGCCATGGTTCACCGTTACGTCATCATTATTTGTCAAATATGAGTTTTAGGGTGTGTCTGAGATCAGTTCATATTGTTTAGAACATTTTAAGTACGTTCCTATATATCGATTGAGCGAGTTCCGTTTTTTCGGCATTTATTATTTTTTTCTTGAACACTTCATCAGTTACGATCCTTTTAATTCCAATCTTTGGGACTGTTGAAATTCCTATTTGTAAACGCTACCAATTTGTATTTTACATAGGAAAATTACACTTTTGCATTGTAATTACTTCATATACGGCGTCCACAGACCCAAGAGTGTTCTACCAGCGCACAGTGGTTCCCCTTAATTAGCTACGCGGTTATAACTGTTAGATATCAAGATATATCTTGACTGCACCTTTTTTAATAGAAATTGATAACAAATGCTAAATAAATCTATATAAAAAACTTAATGTAATATGTATTAAAAAAATTGGGCCTAGTTCGTGTGATTTGCATTTTAAGTTCTAACTATTCGGAAAGGTATACAGATTATGTTTGCACATATGTACATGTTTTTTCATATCGAAGTGGTCAAATTTATTTTAAATGTTGAAAAAATAAAAGAGACAGTTGTTTTATTTTATAAATACAATTTTATTGTCAATTGATATACAGTGTGTTCACGAAATAAGTTGACACAAAGAGGAAAAAATAAGTTACTTTTATTTTAAGACAAAAAGTCAATCTTTAACCACCCGGTATAAGATCCGGCGGCAATTCGTGGCAGCCAGTTGCAATTAATTTATATGCAATATACTTTAAACAACAAGTATTTTCATACCGGTTAAGAGGATTTGAAAGGGAAAGTAGTTAAAAGTCTTAAAGAGTGACAAGCAAAAATGTAAAAATACTATTTTTGTTGCCTTCAAATAAATTGTCTTAAACTAATATTACTTAGGTTTAATTAAGTGCAAATAAGAAAAAACAGTTCTTTTTACCTTCTTTTCGAACGTCCATTACAGAAAAGGCTACAACTTTTATCAATTTTAATAAGCTTGATACCAGTAGCAAAAATGTGAGATTTTTAATAAAAAAGCGCTACACTAGGCTTGCTTGATTTTGTTGTGTATTATGTATCGTTTACAGGGCAATATAAGAAAAGTATTAGCAACAGTTTCATGCAAACATTTTGAAATTCATATTTTTAAGTAATGACCTATCTGGGAACCACTGTGCAGCGTTGAGACCAGCGTCTCTTTCTCGAGAAAAATAATTTATAAACTTAGCAATGAGCTCTAGTTTATTTTGGTTAAATCTTTGAGGAACTTTTGCAATAAAAAAATTTGAATTTTGTTTTACAGCATCAATCAAGATTTAATTTTGACATTGATCGATGTCCGTCAATAAAATTATAACCTCAAATTAAATGACAATAACAATTATTACTAAAAATAATATGAAGTAATTTACGAAATGCCGTAGTGATGTAATCTCTTTTATCTGGTTGGCAAGTGATTGAGAGAGTTCGACAATGTATGACGTCACTTTGAACGATGGCTGAACATTCTATACGTCGGGTTTGTCGTTTGTATCAGTTCTTGCTTGTCATTTAAATTCCGAAATCATACTTTCTTTGGACGGACTATAGTCAAGTTAATTTGTAAAGAAAAATAATGTATAATCGAAAAAAAACAGCATCAAATAACCTTAGAAATGCCGATTGATGTCAATTTCGAGTGTAAAAATGTATGGTGCATATCATCAATTGGTATTTAAAAAGTTGTTCAGCGTTTTTTTCGGTCGGTATTTGTTAAACACATTGCAACATTTACATACACATTTATTATAGGTAAGTTTTTATTACTTTTTATCATTTAACTCAAAGTGGATTTCATCAGTGGCGTCTGTTTAATTAATTACGAAGATATTATAAAAATATCTGATGGTGCCATATTATGTTTTAGTACATTTTGATTATTGGTTATTCATTGATATTTGAGACTTCCTTAAAAAAGTAAAGATTTATAATAAATGAAACTGACGGAGGGTAAATATAACTACGATTTGAAGAATTTTTTTATAGTAAATCGGTATTTGATTTTGACAGTTTAGAATATCTAATAAAGTTCCTTATAAAAGAATTGTTCCTCTAAAATTAAGATCAAAATTGAAAATTATATAGTTTCATCTAAATTATATATTTATAGAAAATTAATTAAGAAGCCATTTTAGAGTTGTTTACTACAGTACCTAAAAGAGTAGGTAAAATATAAACTATTGGCAATTAGGTCGTATTTTTGATCATTTATTTTTTTAAGATTTTTATTTTGTGTGTATAAAGTTTATAAGTAAATATAATTGGATGATATTGCAATTTTCTTTCAACTTTGCCCTATTTTTTGCGTACTTATTTATTCTTGTCAAAAATTAAATTTTTCCGTGTAGTATTTATAAAAAAATACAATAGTAAATAATTCATATTTATTTATTAATTATACAGGGTGAGTCTTAAATAAGTGCAAATATTTTCAGGGGTGGTATATTTTGACCCCAGGAACACTTCTATAAGGTTTTTTTCGCTCGTGCATTTCTTTTAAATTTCCCTGTATATTTTTCGAAAACTTTTGAGAACTGCCTGTTCATCGCAAATTTTCCCACGGTATAATTTCTTAATCTCTGATATTACTATAGTTACGGCTTTACTCTATGGTTACGGCAATAAAAGGGATGCAAATACAGGAAAAATTCGGTGGCTCTCAAATTTTTTTCAAAAAAATATTTTTTTTTTAATTTTCAAACTTAAATAACTCGATTATTTTGGACTTATCTGAAAAATGTTAAAGATAAAATATGTTTCTTTTATCGAGATCTATAGTCTGTCCAACGAGAAGATCCTTGGCAGTGATAGATGTGTCTGTCATTTTAATTTCAAAGTAGTTTATCTTATTTTACAAAGAAATAAGTTGGTACAACTGGAACGCATAGCAGGAAATTAATATATATGTATTTAAAATTTGACTGACAAATAACTTCAAAATATTGTGAAAAAAACTGTATAAAACTGAAAAAATGTACTCGAGTTATTTTATTTAATAAAAAACGGTATGTGTTAATACAAAGCAAACAAAAACAAGACACCACATACCAAAAAATATAAAAAAGAACTATTTCTTACTTTCAAGCTTTATGAAACTTCCCGCATTTATGATTATATTTATCAATATAACTTATGTACAAATACAAATTTGTAATATTCCGCAGGAATAAATAAAACAACATAAATAAAACAAACTACTTTATTAAGAAAAACACTTACCAAATTTTATACCTCACAGGTTATACCTCACATTAATTAACTTTAATCTTAATTTTTTTTAAACCAGTACCTTTTGACATTATTTTTCTGCAGTACTAAAATCCATTATTTACCTATCGTGTGATGTCGATATTTTACAGCTACTCCAGTTTTTAGTATGTTTAGTATGGCCCTTATTGATAGTAACTTTATTGGGGTGTATCTGTATAAGACTTTCTGCCTGGGCAGCGAGTATTAACCATAAACTGTGCTCTGGGTTCTACAGTTAATTTTCACTCGGTTTTTCCTCCACTTGACTTCAAAAGACACAAAACAGACGTAATAACACGAATCAAAATGCATTATCTTCCAAAACGCAGGGTATTTGACAAAAGTTGTCACAAACACAGAATATACTAACGAAAGTCACAAAATTATATCCTATAATTTGGCAAGACTTTGACAAACGTCAAAAATCTAAAGGCGAGTTCATACGCATCGGCGCCCGTTTGTCGTTCATCGTTCCGTCAAACCAATAAAATTGAAATACGATCTGTCATTTTTGAAATAAACCAATAAATCTGGTTAAAAACAACAAGTGACGACGCAAGACGAATTTATATTTAAACCCATCCATAGTTAACTTAAAAATTATTAGAAACTTTTTTTAGTAAAATAAATAGATTGGTATGGGACGTCATCAGCTTTTCTTTTGTCATCGTCTGTCGAAATCTTACCTGAGAAAAAAAAACAGAGTATACCAGTAATGAAAATATTTGCACTTATTTAAGACTCACCCCGTATAGTCAAGTAAAAAAATATAAAATTAATCATTAACATCCGATATACCGATTTTAATGAGAATTGCCTTCTAATAAAAAAAACGCAAATAACAAATCAAGTGTGGATTAAAGAAGAGTATTTAAATATCAATTATTATAATATACGAAGTGTTTAACGAAACATAGCAGTTAGATAAAATCTGTGTTGATCTATGATATAAAATACAGGATAGTTCGTTTGAAATAGCGGAAACTAGCAAAACATTATATTTAGTTTTGATTCACTCTGTAGGAACTTCATTTTGATCTGCAAATTATCGTGATGTCTCTTCTATGACACTTATTTTTTCTTTAGAAGGAAAAAAAATGGTAAAATCGATAAAGTACCTATTACTTTAGAAACACGTTATATTAATTTTTAGATTTTAAGAAACGATTTGCTGAAGCTTGTTGATGATTGAACACATAGAGGATAAAGACGGTTTCATTTTAGGTATGTATAAATTTATTAGGATTTTATAAAGTCATGTTCATTTTGATGTATGAACATCTTAAACATTTTATTTTGTCCCACTTTTTTTGACTTGTTAACCTAGAGTATTCATTAAAAAGTTCTGAATGAAGCTTCATTTTTTTATTGAATATTTTAGTTAAAAAATCAGAAAATCTAAGGCCTGTTAAAATTGGAACAAAATAAAATACTGACACTATATTAATTTATTTTCAGTTTGCCAAGAATTGTTGAATTTTGAAAAGTTGTTATTACCTATTTTCTCTGTTATCTTAAAGAAAGTAATAAAACAATATATCTAGGACATTGTTTTTTCCATTTGTTGGTATTTATTTTAGGATAATAAATAGCTCATTAAGTACATATATAACGAAAAGAATCTTCTTACACTTTTATAATTTGTACACTTTTCTCGTTATAACATGTAATTGTAGTTAGTACAAACAAAAATATTTATATTTTTATTAACTTGGAATAAACATATACAATAGTTCTTTCCTACTTTTTATTAAAAATGCACTTTTGAAATGTGTCATACTGAGACTATTCATGAAAGTTAATTTTATTTAATTGTGAGTCAAAAGTAAATCATACTGTCTATTAATAGTTTTTTTTGGCATTGTACGATGGGCTTGTCTATATACTACATAAATAAACATTTAGGTATTTGAGGTAGATCTTCAATTATTTTTTTTTCCTTTTTGAAAAATCTCTCAAAAATAATGGACATATTGATATTAAAATTACTTTTTTGACTCATATTAAATAAAATAAACTTTCAAGTGATCTAGCTTATTTTAGAATCTAAATTTAAAACTTGACCAGCTGTGATGTTTCTCTATTTAGACACTGACAGTGTCTCAATCATCAATACTAGCTGAATAAAAAACTACTTAGTTTCTAGTAGTCATAGTAGCCTTGAATTAAATAAGGATAGTTGAGAATTTTAAATTTTATATTTTGATGGTGTGAATAAAAATATAAAAAATAGATAACTGAAAATGTGTTATTTTCTGTTAACTAGTAATGTTTTTTTTAAACATCTAAACGATATAAGTAGAATATGTTCCCGTGCAGTTGCCAAGTCATTATAACAATCATAGAAATAAAGGTGTGTAATATTGGATATGGTCACTATAAATGTTGATATATGATTGATTAGATAATTTAAACAAAGTTGTTGAATAGGTATTTCCCTAGACACTAACTAAAATAACTGACTTGATTTAACCTGTGGTATAACATGAGATATCTCACAACTTTTAGTAGCGTGCCTTTGCAAATGCCTTGTGAGATTTGGCATTTTTTCATGTTATCTTCTCGATGTAATCTCATTTCTTTTTGTAGGTCATCTCCTTTTTTTCTCGGGTAATATCAATGACTTAAGAATACAAGGACGTGTAACGCCCATATACGGGTTGCAGCAGAATTTGTGATGTTAGACGCCATATTTTGGAAGTACCGAATGAGTCATCAGCGACAATTTTAGCGATTTTTAATAGTTTGTGTGTAGTGAACTTTGTATAAACTTTATTACAATGGTGATTAGCTGTGCAGCTTTCAAGCGTAAAAGCCGCAGCGATAAGAATGAGCCAGGAGTTACGTTTTATAGGTTAATGAACAGTCCCCTCCGCTTTTTTAGTGTTTTCTTATTGAATTCAATAATCATTTTTCTGATATTATATGCACTTGATATGTGCTATACGTCGATACTAGTTTTGTACCTTTTGTTAACATTTTGACAAACATGACACCACCGCATACACCATAGGCGTAGTCAAAACATTTATCAAAAATATAAAGCTTTTCAAACAGCTGTGTTAAGAAAAATATATGCCACGGCACAAGTATGGTAACAATTTGGTCGCGGGTGTTATTAGTTCTTGTATTCTTTATTCATTGGGTAGTATACAGGTTGTCCAAGGCTGAGCGTGCATTAGAAGTTTCTAGAGAACTACAATATCTAGATCGGAGATTTTTGGTACATCTTAGTTTCACAACGAGATCTATCGACTCAAAGTATTTTCAGTATGGCGGGACTTCCGGAAATACCGGAAGTTGACAACAATTTTGTTATTTTAAATGGATACCACCATTTTTTATTACATACTTAAATTCCCTGTGAATTTTTTGAATTTTGATATCAAACACACTATATCTAACATTAACCGTTTTTGAGAAGAAAAAAATGAATCTTTTGGACGAAAAAACTGCTTGTCAAAAAATTTGTATAACCTAAACGTCAAATTTAGTGATACCACGGCAACTGTAACATAAAAAGAAGACATGTGGCTATCTATTTCAAAAATTAAATTGTTCGAATGTCATATAATATTGGCGGTACCTGTCATGGGATTGAACGATTCAAAAATTATCATAATTTTTTTTTTCAAATAGAAACCTGTTTTTTTATTTCACTAGTGAAAATGTTTTTAATTAGTTACTTTTTGATTATACATGTTCCTATATCTAAAATAAATCGTTTTTAGTTATTTAAGATTGAGTTTTCAAGCGTATTTTTTTTCTTGATTTTGTATAGCTTATGTTGAAGATTGAACTTTTTCTTTGTTGATAATATTATTCAAAGGTATTACTATTGCAATTAAAAACTTGTATTAAAACAGCGGACGTATTACTGACAACTTTATTGTTCCGCCATCTTCTTTCGTCTTTTTTGACAGACAGACTTTTAAGGTCGTCCCACACGTACAATAACTAAAGGTAACTTTACACATAAAAATAGGAAAACAGAAGACAATAAAAACACTGAATGACTATTAAACAGCTTCCTTTGACATTAAGTGTCAAACAACCAGAGAATATATTCTGTCAGAAAACTGATCATTTGAATTTCGTATATTATAAATATCTACTGCCTGCTTGAGATTTTATAAAGTGTATTTATAAAAATATATTTCGTATTTTCGCTCTTTAGTGATATCTAATAGTCTATTAGTCAGAGATAATAGTCGTTTACAGCGCAGCGGATACCGTATCGTAGTTCGTAGTTCTGCTTTCAGTCGACAGAGTGGTTGGTTTCCAGAGATCGTGCTGCTAGAATTACTCATTAATCCGTAGATTTACGGATTTTTGGGTACAGTACGATATTAATACGGATTTTTTATCATTAGACAATTTAATATATCATTATATGATTAAACAAGAACGACATCAAAGTTGACTTGAAAATGAACATCGTTATTTTATATGTAACGTATTATGGTAAATGTCAATAATCGTCATCTCCAAGGTAACTAAACGACTTTTTTCGACATATTCAGTACCTATAAAAGAATTTTTATTTTTGTTGTTGACTCTATGTTTGACATGAATACATTTTCAATACATAAACGCGGATTTTTTATCCAAAAATATTTTTGTCAAACGTATCCAGATATTACATATTTTAATATGGCAACACTTTCGCTTTTGTCTTCGATGTGCCTTCGCTGACCGAATTAGAGAAAATAAGTGTTTTATGCGTTGACCGCAGAACGATTGGTGTCTCAACCGTACAGCACTTGAGACGTAAGGGGAAATCAAATCGACCTTGTCACGAATTCGCTCATTAAGGCGAGAATACACATGCTAGGAAAATAGCATGCCAGTGGCCCAGTTACTTGTATGCTGCTAACTTGTCCTTGGCTACCCAAAATACACATGCTAGTAAATAGCATGGCATATTGGCAAGTAACTTGACCAGTTGTGGGCATGCTAGTCTAGTTGCTAGTTTGAAATTATCCGAGCTTGATTCTATGCTCAGCTTAGCAAAAAGTGTTGTGATGACTATCCTGCACCTGAGCGCATACACTCCTTTATTTTCTTCAATTCTTGGTGATAGGTTGTTCCTAAGTTTTTTATCTTATTTTTGATAAATTTTACTGTTAAATTTTCATCGTTCATATGCTCCAATAAAAACTTGTAAGCGTTGTCTCTAGCAATTTTATTTTTGTACAATGGAGCTGACGTATTCCATAAACATTCATACTCCCTATACTGCATAACAAATATTAAAGTCTTTTCATCACCCCAACGAGCCATTTTGTCACGAAAAATTTTAAAAACTAGTTAAAGTAGAGCAGCCATTGGTCACTTGCGAGATACTGGCGATTGGCAACGCGTTGTTTTTTGCACACGTTCAAACATGACTTGCATGCTTTTCCCTCCCACCCAGTCGACGCAATAGTGATACTTGCACAAAAAATCAAACGTCTTGCGATTTACTGGCGTGCTATTTTCTAGAGTGCTTTTTTACTGGCAGCGAGGGTCACACATGCAGGTAGCACGCATCTTCCAGTGACTGGCATGCTTCTATGCCTGTAACACGCATGTGTATTCTCAGCCATAGGTTGTGTATCTTCCCAGTTCTTTCAAGCAACGCTACAATACTGCGTGTCGAATAGCATGAACAACCCTATAGTTAGCCATAATGGTAGTTAGTCATTTTCCATATATCTCTATGAGTAGAACAAACTATCACAAATATTTGCACAACATGATTAGTTTTCTATTGTTCTACTGTATTATTTTTTTATTATAAAAAAAAACTGCCTTGTTTTTATCCATTGTGGCTTTCCAAACATCTTCAATTTTTCCCGCAAGAAAACAACAGGAGGCGTTTTCTAATCATCATAATTGCGTTAGTTGCGGGCCCGAAACGGGAATTTGTTGAATTTCAAATCGGTACATAAGTAGGTCTGACACGTCTTGATTCTTTGACACATTAGAAAATTAGTTTTATCAATTCGCCGTGTTGCCGATTGAATTTTAATGCCCGTGCCTCTGTTTTGAGGACATTTTTCGTTGTCACTATAAAAAGCCAGATGCTGGTCGGAACTGGTGCAGTTGCCGTTTTCATTTTGTTCGCCGAAGATATCACGGTGGTAAGTAATAGGAAAGTTAGTAATTAAGTCTAAGGGTATACAGGGTGCATGCATTCAGTGGCATTTTTTTCATAAGTGGACGTGAACCCCCAAATTATAATTTTAACCCTTAAGAATCTATTACGCTGTACTGTTCGGGTCGCTCTCAGGGGTCGGGTAAAGTGTGGCCGAAGGAAATATATATTATATTTCAGAAATCTGCCTAAGGCTTAGCCGATCCTGTCGTGTTAAGCCACACCAAATATTCCAAACACACGTACTTGTATTAAGGCTTGATTAAGGTTTGCAGAACTTCAGCATTTGCCATAAAATAGCAAACAATTTATTACAAAACCGTATAAATTATATATCACTTTAATCACAAAATTTCAATCTTTTTCCGTATAGTAACAGAATTTTAAATCTTTAGTCTTTATTTGCGAGAAAATTTAGTCCAAACATAAGGAATATTTTGTTGATGTTTGATCATCAAAATCTTAAAAATAAAGAAGTTGTCTAAAAATGTCCTACAATACGGATATAGTATAATCCTTTATGTTTAATTTCCTTCTTCATTTGTGGTAAAAATACCTAGCCAGTTTTACATAAAACGTTAAATGCCGAACGCTTATTATATTATGCAATACTTTTTCAAACTAGTGAAAGGGACTCTTAAGCTTGATTTCATGCGTCCATTATCCGTTAATTTGACGATGGTCTGACGGCGCTTTGATTGGTCATAGCATTTTCGCGCCACTTTTGATCCATAAATTTGCCAAGCATCTTGAAAAAAGCATTTGGAAGCAAGAAATATTGCTCCTAATTCTTTTTGTTATACAATACTACAGTGAGGTGTTTCTCAAAGATAGAAATTCTTGGTATTCCATCCACTGGGAGTTGAGGGTGTGGAATTTTCCTTTTGAGAGTATTCCAAGCTCCTGAGCTGATAATTCTCCCAATATTATTTCCGTCAATGATCATTTTAATCCTTACTAAACTAAATGTGATGTGTCTAGAATGATCTCCATTGCTGCAGATTCTCATAGCTCCTTGTGATGCAGATACAGGGCCTCCAGAGTAAATAGTTATTTGTAATACCAGATTATAAATTTCTCTGCACCCACCAAGTATTCAAATAAGTACGCGTCGCCACTGCATGTATTGCGTACTATAGTATATTTGGATTATAATTCTAAACCACTCTATACCATAATTGATGTAATTTTATATCTATTTTTTTTTTAATTTTAGAACGAAAATGAGAATTTTTATCACAAATATTATTTTAATTTCTGCAATTGCCATTTTCTACGACTACATCGCCGAATGCAAAATTATTACATCTTCAGGATCAAATGCAGATCACCACAGTAACAGAAACGCTGACCATCCACGGTACCGATATAAGGATCGTTCCAGATATTCCAGGATAAAACCAGAATCGTCGTATAATGATTTTGGAGGTGAGCAATTTTAGTGCCAGCTATTATAATACTATCCATTTATCCCGTGGAGGTTTACTTTGGTGTGAAAATGTCAGTGTTATGCCATTCGGCTAGAGTCTACCTAATAATATAGCTAATCTAATCTTTACCTATAATCCTTTAATAATATCTATAGCAGCAAAAAGTAAAACGATAAAATCAGTTTGTTCATAATTGATTACCAATAGCAACTGTTTTTGAAATCAAAAAAATATTAGAGATTCCCTTATTCGAAAACGAGGGTGGAATTCGCAACGCAGCGATAACGTATTGTTATTTTCGTAAATGTTATTTCTTGAAAGCAAGAACTTTTAGAAACCTGATAAATATTTGTGGCGCGGTGACCTAACTTTATTACACAAAATATTAGATACTGTTAATGCTCTTATTATTCTCATACCTGTTATTTTTTTGGAGTGATAACTGTTAAAAATCTACCAGACAAATATTTGTGGCATGGTGATCCCCAACTTATCTTCATAGCTGTTATTTTTTTTTGGAAGCTATTGTTGTGAAAAAGACATATTTTGTAGCACGGCGATTCCTTTAAATAACGAACAATCGTGATCAACGCACTGTTATTTTCGTACCTGTTATTTTGTGAAATAAATAACTGTTGTAGACATGATACCTAGATATTAGTGACGCGGCGATTCCGACTCCACATTACAATCCATCGTTGCCTGTTCATCGTTATCTTATGTGCTTATTATTTGATATTTTGTCGAAATTCGCTCATAGAAACTTCATAATACAGGTTATCGCCCATTATTTTTTAGAAGTGAAGCAACTCTCGACAACAGCGCTGTCAGTGCACTGTTATTTTATTTTATGTTATTTTTTTGTAAGAACAGCGCGGTGATCCCGACTTTACATTATTAGCCAGTGCCGTCAGCGCACTGTTATATTCGTATCTATTATTTCTTTTTATGTAATCACTGTTGTGGACATGATATAGATATTATAGCGCGTCGATCGACAGTCATCGCTGTCAGAATACACTCTTATTTTCTGGAAGTATCAACTGTTCTGAACCTGATAAAATTTGGTGATGCAAGCATTGTTGTCAGCACACTGTTATTTTCATATCTGCTATTTTCTGGCAATAAGAACTGTTAGGAACTGAAATTTCCTTGGAGTTTTAAAATAACCGTTCGTTATAGTTATTTTTTGCCTTTACACATAAGAAATTTCACAAATTTATTTAGCATGGTCGAATCGGTCGTGTTATCGTGTAATAATTAAACTTTTTTAGACGATGAGGATGACTTCGATTTAACCAAAAGACAACAGCAACCCCCTTCCGACGATTATGGACATATGAGATTTGGAAAAAGAGACGAACAATTCGATGATTACGGCCACATGAGATTTGGAAGAACTCGAGAATAATTCACAGAAACAGTCAACTAAGAATAATTTTCTATGACATATCGCAAAACATATTTTGACATGGCAATTTTAGCTTATAAGTGGCAAGAGTGAATAAAACACTACTAAAAGTACACATTTATTATTTTATTTTCTATGCTGCAATATTTAGACAGACAAACAAGCGACAATCTTGGCACCTGAAAGCTGCGAAGTGTCTATTACATAACTATTACAGCTATGCTTGCTCTTCTTTCTTTGTTCAATACATCTTACTGTACTGAGCGTATTGACTGTAGTCTTCGTACACACGAAAATCGGTACCCAAAGCAAGACATTGCCGACCCTGTATATGAGTCATAATTTAAATAATAATTGTTCCCACATTTATCACAACAACTAAGATTTGAAAAATCTGTGATTAAACCTGAATTTAGAAGGGATTTTGGGAAATAAAACAATTATGAATTTGAATTAGTAACTTTATTCTAACTACATTAATCATAACATCTATATCTCCAATAGATTTCTTTATTTCTCTGCAATAGACCTATAATATATTTTGATTGTATGTTTCCTTCGTTTTTGACAGTTATCTGAAACTAATCGAGAATGACGTCACATTTGTACTAATGAAAATTAGACCAGTTAAGCAACTTAACTCGTTTTAATAAATATGGCATTTAATTATAATAATTATTAAGATATAATATGTATATGTTGTAATGGAGATTCACAAAAAAGTAATCATATACCTAGTATTTTATCTCATTTGTTGAAGTCCTCTTCACATATGAAAATTATATGTCAATTATATTTGGAAATAAATTATTAATGAACACGTTTTTGCTATTCGATCTGTAAAAACAGTCAAAATTGTAATTTTTTTAAACAAAAAGAATTTGGTATTAGTAAAATTGATTTTATTGACATTTTATAATAAAAATTGTACGTTAAATACTACGATTGTATTATATACAAAACGTGATAGAAAATGCCAAAATGCGGAAAATTCTTATGATTTTTACTATAGTCACATGTGAACAGGCCTTTACCCTGCATTCTAGCTAAACAACGAATAGTATTAGATGCGACAATGTTAGTGTGATATGAAAAATGAAAGCTTAATAAAACAACATGCAACACGTGATATAGACATGAATAATAAACAATATCTTTTTCTTTTAATATTAGCACAATCATAACCTGTGTATTCCTAATTTTTTTTTCAAAAATACACAGATTTTACACTTCTTTTTCATGGCTCGTTACAAGATAATTTTTTGTTAATTTTCCATAACAAAAACACTAACAAAGTCCAGCTTTCTTGATGATGTTGGTGAACATGCTCATATTTTTAATATAAGCACTTCACGGGTTTACTACATTAATAATAATAATTATAATAAAATTAGAGACAATAAACATATATATAAATACAGACACTCATAGTGCGTGAATAAAATCCAAAATAAAATATATATGTACATGATATTTTGTGATACTATATTTTAAAATTAGAAATATTTAAAATTGTATGTATAATTTATATACTAAACATACTTGCCAAAGAGTTTAATATAAAATAACAGTATTGACACTATTTATATTAATAGCTTATTGAAACAAAAAAATATGTTTGCTAATATAAATATTATTTACATAAATCACTGTATGATTTTTTTTTCTAAAAATATCTGGCAAGTATATTTGGTATTTATAAAAAAAATAAAATTAATATTAAGTAGTAAAATAAACAGACTAGGAAAAGAAATTTTGAATTTTCGATACACCTTTGGCTTTATTTTTTCTGAGGTGTAGTGATGTTTCATTATGATTATTATAACCTACATAAAAGCTGTCGATTTTTCTTAGACAATGTTAGGTTTGATGCCGTTGGATGCCAGAACTTTGTTGACGAAATTGACGATGGCTGTGGCAGGTTGATCTGGGTCCAAGTCGGCGAATAGATGGCACTGATTGTCTGGGTTGCTGACGTTTGGTTTTCTGGCCACAAATCCAAAAATGCGCCTAAGAAAAAAAATATATAATACAGAAACTGAATTTTTATCAACATAACATTTCTCGATTTTTTTCTTTCATAGTGTTGCGGACCCGTGTGGACACGAACTAACCTAACTAATATATCCCGCCCCATAAGGTCATATGCCTTAATATCGCATTAAAGAATAGACTCCGTAATGATTCAGTCGAACGTTTGAGAACAATCGAGTTCCACTGGAATGGAGGAGTATATACGAGAACATTCTAAACCTTCTCTATGCACCTAATGATCTATGGACTACTCGAGAACTGTTTGGCTGTTGGTATATAAGGCGACGCCTGGGGCCTGAGGAGGACAGAAACAAATAAACGCGTACATTTGCCGCGCTAAATTCAAAAATAAATTCCTTCTAGATAAATAGTTATAAATAGTTTGTAAATAGTTCTTTAAGTCTTTTATCGTTATTGTTTGTTGGTTAGTGTAAATAAATTGTGTTTAAATAAATTGTGACTTTCTATCCACACGGAACCGACGAAAAACGTAACAATATTAATCACTATTCTATACAGGGTGAGTCTTAAATAAGTGCACATAATTTTGAAGCGGTATATTTTGATCCCAGGAATACGTCTGAGGATTTTTTCTCAAAAAATTGATAGTTTTGAAAAAAACATCATCATCATGACCATTTTCAGCTTATTATACCAGTTAACCATTTCCAATTATGGTGTAGCCTCCCTCACATATTTAGATAATCTCTTTGTAGTTAGGCACATTGTTGTCTATTGTTGCCTATGCGTGTCCAAGTTAACCCTGCTAATTTCCTAATATCTTGGTCTCATCTCAGGGTTCGGTCTTCCTCTAGGTCTCTTAATTCCTCGTGGGTACCCTGATGTAATTTTTGTGGTCCATCTATTGTCGGTTCTTCTTGCCAGGTGTCCTGCCCATTGCCATTTGAGGGATTTGACTCTGTGGATGACATCAATATGGTGGATGACATGAAAAAACATATTAACTTAATAATATGCCAATATGGGTAGTAGATTAGATTTAGAGACACGAAAACACACTTTATCGAGATCTACCAGCCCTGAAAATACGTGCACTTATACAAGATACATCCTGTATTACTAAATGAAAGTAATATTGAGGTTATCCCAATATTCTGTGGGCATAGACTGCGATGTGTTTTTAGGTTATAATATTTCATATCTTATCATTTATTTCTGGTTATGGTTATAATAATATAAACATCCTTAGGTATACTTTATTTTTCTTTACAATGCAAGTTCAATGTTTTGACTGCAAACCGTTGATGTCGTTGGAAAATTTTCTTAAATATTTCACTATTTCTTCAATATTTCATTTTTTTTACTTTTTATTAGCAAAGATGCAGCAATATCTTCATCCATTACTCAAAAATATATAAAATAAGCCTATGTATGCTAGCAGGGCACAGAGAAGATTCACAAAACGAAAATATCAACTAATAAATAAAATTCCTCATTCAAGTGACATTTCCAAGATGTGCTTAAAAACACAAATATCTTTAGAATTCATTGAAAATTTTTGCTGTTATATAAACTACGTAAATAAGACAATTTTATTTTGCGATATTCGCTTTTGCATTTCGCAATTCGATGCTATACGAAGCCCAAGTCTAATGAGATCTTAAATTACCTGACACTGATACTATGGCGCCCAACGTGGGGCGCCAAATTATCGATTTCAGTTATAGCATATTATATGCTGCTACATAAGATCTTAAGTAACAGAAGCCGACAATAAAAACTATTGTTTTCTACTGTACGTACTTTGGAATCTTAGCTGCCTGTCCATCCTCCGACTTCACGTACCAATCGTGATCGTCCGGAGCCAGTCCACAATGCGATATAGTGTTGATGGGGTAGTGCTTCCTGAAGAACAACTTCCTCTTGTTATCGGTCAGCGTGATGCCCTGACCGTTCACCTTGAAATGAACCACGGTCTCCTGAGGATCGGGTTTTTGCAGCAGTTGCAACGCCGCCTTCTTGACCGCTTGCGGACCCGTGAGAGATTCCATTTCCAACGTTGCCAGATAGTAGACGTTGCACGCGGCACCCTGCACTTGGAGCTGCTGTTGGATTTGGGCCTGGGGATTAGTTCTACTGTCGTATCTAGAAAAATAAGTAGATTTAGTCTTAATACATAACTTAATATAGTAGTTAGAGAGCAATTACATTAGATTTCAATATTACAACTACATTCGAAGAACGATTATATCAATATTAGTGCTCGCTCATATTGGTACTGCTCGAGCGGTGAGAATGTGTGATGTATGGAGAATGTATCCTAGGGATCAGAAGAATCTGAAAACTACTATTACTACTGCCATTACTCGCTGACGCGTATTTGACACGCATCAGAAGATGGTCACGCAAGGCGTTTTCTGTCATGCGCTTTTGTGTGACTGAAAAGCCCGATACGTGATGTTATCTCTCTTTCTCACTCCGGACATTCAAAAATCTCATAGCTCTTTACTTTTTTGTTGTTGCTGTTTACTGAATTTACAATTCTTCTCCATTGCATTCTATTGTGAGCTGCTTCTTCCGACTCATTCTGCATGTTAATTTCCTTTAAGTTTTCGTGGAAAATATCCTTGTACCTTTTAAGTTGTCTTCCCCCACCTCCTCTTACCGTCTACAAGCTCACCGTAAAGCAGATATTTTGGTGTGCGGTTTTCTTGCACTCTGCATACGTGACCAGCCCATCTTAAGCGGGATTTTGTAGTCATGACTTCAATACTCTCGCAGTTAGCTTTTTCAAGGACCGATATATTTGAGACATGATTCAGCGTTCAGATAACATGGTGGGGATTATTATTGCTCGGTACACTGCAAGTTTCGTTTTTGTGCTAAAGTCATGATAGTAGACAACCCTCTCTTTTAATTTCCAGAATGCTCTTGAGGCGCTGCTAATTCTGTGCTGAATTTCAGACTCGATATTGGCCTTTCTCGGCAGTATGATCCGAAATCAAACTGCCGAGGTAATTGAATTCCGCTACATATTCCAATTGTTCTTCAACTTTTATAGCATTGTTGTGATCTTCCGGGGAGTACACATGATTTTAGTTTTGTCGATGTTCAGCTTAAGGCCCAAAGCCTCGTATGCACAGGTATATGTGTTCAACATTTCTAGTAATTGTGGTAACGTTTTTGCAACTAGAGCGCAGTCATCAGCGTATTGAAGTTCTGTGATGAATTTTGTACGTGTTTTTGCCCTGAATCTTTTTATGTTGAACATCTGAAAAGGTCACAGTGGAACAGGCTGAGAGCTACTTCAAAGATATATTTATCTATCTATGATAGGTATTATTTTATTTCATTAAGATTATTATTAATTACTATGTTACTTACTTCAAGTCGCCTTCTGGCAATATCAGCCTACAGGGCAAGGCGATCTGTGTAATAGAATGCTGGTAAATCAAGGCAGACAGTGAACTGAACACTGGTTCGTTCGGACACCCTTTGATCCGCACACCTTTCGACGTAGGTTCTATCAGGAAATGCCTGATCAGTTCATCGGATCCGCCAGATTTGTTCTGGAAATTGGGCGGTACCGCTGCAACTCTCAGGGCCAATCCGAAAGCACCGGGGAACGAGTTAGAGTCACGTACGACGAAAGTTCCTGGTACTTGATCACGTAACATGCTTATAGCTGAAAGGAAAATAAAAGTAAAGTAAAGCTCTAAAAAGTATTCCTATATCAAATATACCCATTATCTATTCCTCAAATAAGTACCTACAAAGTTACGATTAAATACTTCAATAGATCGAAAAATAGTTGTAAAAGATATAACCAAACACATATCCATAATATCTATTCATCTATTAAAATGTTGGACCGATTTTTGAAGTTACTTCGTGTGAATCCATTACACTTCTAAATGGCAGAGATTTATTTTGAAACTGTGAAGTGTCAGGAATCCGGTATTTGAATATATTTCATTCGCAAACTCTAGTGCAGAACTAGTTTCTTCTGATGTCAGGTTATATTTTTATTCCCGAGGACTAATCAATGTCAAAAGATCAGCTAGAGTCAAGGCTGTTTTATACATTTTTTGAAAAAGCTGAATGTTAATCAAGCTAACTTCCGCCTTCCCTAATCTTCTAGTTCATTCCAAATTTCTACCGACATCTTGTTCTGCAATAAGTACTTTGCACTTTGAACATTAGATGGTACTAAAAAAATTCCCTTTGATCTAAGCGACCGATTTTATATTTTTTTTTTGCGGAAATAGGGACATCGGCAAAGTTTACAGAATAAAATATATCGGTGACCAATGTGAAAAAACGACACGCGCCGTAGAAATGTTAATATTGTCAATATCGCAGAGTTATAAACAAAGACTTAGCCATTTAGGATAGGATTTTAAAGAAAGAAAATTGATTAAAATCAAAAAATCTGAATAAAATAAAAAAATCTAGTTTTTTGATATTTTTTTATAAAAATTATGATTTTTTTGCACCCTGATGTTATCTGTGACAGTTTTAACACGCACAAAAACAGTATTATTTACGGTTTCATACTTCAATGTTAAGTTTCCAGAAAAAGTAATCCCAGTAGTAACTTTGGGGTACAGGAATTTTTGCCGGGTAGTGAATATATAAAAAAATTGTTATAAAATTAACCAAAAAAATAATAACAAAACTGTAATAGAAGACAATAGCCTATATAGAAAAAAAGTATTACTCCTACCTTCTTCTCTGGATATGGTGGGCTTGTACCAGAACCTGCTCGTGTCCCTGACGATCTTGACGTGCGCCGCTGACACCTCATGGGGCGACTGTTCGTTAGCACTGGACGCCACCGATCCCCGTCTGGAGTGGCCGTAGTATACTGTAGGCGATGAAGAACCGTTCCTTTCCAAATAACCAGTGGCGGAGACGCTCCTTTGCGCGGGGCCGTGCCTGTACTCGACGTCCGACGAGCCGTTCAAGTCTGTCGGTGAGGTTGGTCGGTCCTTTCTACAAAAAGAGGATAAAAATATCTTTAGTCGGTGTCTAAGAAGACTGGACTTGCATATCCAGTGTTCTGGATTTTATTTTTATTTGATGTTAAGAACATCATCTCTGTCGTTTTAAAGAACATACTAAGGGCTGGCAAAGGTTAGTCTTGGGTCGAGATTTCCGTATGTAAGAAGAGTACAATGCGTTTATAATGTACTGAACAAAGAGAGGACAGTACAAACGTTGCCAAACGTATGAAATAAACCGAGAAACTGGGCATATTGCTAAGAGACGTGGAAGGGGATATAGCAGTCAGTACCGAAAATTCTAGGGAAGAGTCTACATCGTGAAAAGTGTCTCGTGATACTATATTCGTTTATTTAATAACGGGTCGTTGTAATTTTCCCTATAGCTTGTAAATTTTTAAGTGCAAGTTAGAAACACTTGCACTTTTGGTAAAAAATAAGTGGAATTGACTTGGTGTTCGACAGTGGTCGCGCTATTAGAACTCTAAATTCAAAAATCGATATCTCGAAATCCATTAGAAAAAATTGATTGTAGTTTATTTTTCAATAGCTTTCTTAATATTTCTGCTATATTTTCTTTGCAGATAGTATGTGAAAATCTTTATAAATAAAAATGTTACACGATAGCTGAAAATTGCAATGCACTAAAAGTAAATGGATGGGGTTTTTAAAATGTTTGGAATGTATGTAGTTTAGAATTTTTCTTATTTAAACATCTTGTAAAAAATGCGAACTTCAAAATAAAAAAAAGTTTCAATATCTAAAGTAGTTCTTGAGTTATCGCGTGTTATATAAAAGTTGACATCCTAACGATATCCTTATCATTCCATTTCAGATGCTCAGAAACATATCTAATGATTTTGTCTAGTTATCTTTTCGAGAAAAAAGTCTTTTAGAAATAACTTTTCAACCTTTACTTGATAGGGAAAGGCGTACCGGAGAAATGTGGCAACGTTGCAACAGCACACCGTCGCATTTCTCTCACTCCGACTTAATAATATCCCTATGCAATTTACTTCCACACATGCAGTTACCGACCCAAAAGTAAGAGTTGTCAGCACGGTATAAATGTTATGTGTAGTGATCTCAATAATAACTGTCAAAAATGTCTTATTATCTACCTAGCATCTTGCGTAAATAAAAATTAATAATGAGGTTAATAGGGTATAACTTGAAGGCTTGAAGATAAGAACATGTGGACTCTAAAGATGGAACTTCGACTCTAAATATGTCATCCTTAATTTTTCAATTTGATTTAATATCTTTAAATTCGCAGAATACAATAATTGGACTGGACTGGGAATCCAAATTGAACACCTATATGCTACAGCTAGAGAGTATGTTTTTTTCTAACTTAACCTATAGTTGTATTTTAATAATATCATGCTATAAAGCGTGAATAAGAAAGCTTATTAAACACTTATTATTACTTATTTTACTCTGATATCCGACATGCATTTAGACACTTAGATTACTCTAAACCCTACCGCTTTGTGCAAAAATCAAAAAAGTTACAAAATTTTTAACTGTAACTGAATCCAAAATCAATCAGTATTAAGACATTTATTGATTCTCGATATGATTCTCTTTTTTTTATTAATAAACAATAATCGATTTCTATTATTTCCTATATTACAAATAAAATTTAATATTATTTGTACGCTTATTTTATATTTCGAGAAAATTTATTGTAAAAAAATATTAATACAATAACAGAATACAACAATTATTATATTAATAATTTTAGTAATCAATATATAAATAGAATTATGTGTAGAAAGAAAATAAGTGCAAGTGAACATCTATTCTAAACATCGATACATGCGATATATATTCCTGTAGGATGCATTTTATTTTTATTACTTTACCTCTCCGGAGACAACGTCCATTTGGCATTTTTTGTCAAAGTCGCTGATGGAAAACTAAGCCGGCTACAATTAAGAATTATATGATACGCATGGCTTTAAACAAAAAAAATATTGAAAAATATCGATAATGTTTTACTTTCATATAAAGGTATAATTAAATTTAAAAAATGGTATTTTAAATAAACTAATATCTTTATCAATTGGCCTTCAAACCAATAGTGTGAGAATTATGATAATGGTTACACATTGTAACTGACCTCTTCTAACTTTTTTCTAAATGTTATAGCGTTGATTGAAAGAATTGGGAAGATACGCAACCGCAAACTAATGGGCGAATTCGTGACAAGGCTGATTTGATTTCCCCTTACGTCTCAAGTGCTGTAAGGTGGAGACACCAATCGTTCTGCGGTCAACGCATAAAACACTTATTTTCTCTAATTCGGCCGGCGAAGGCATATCGAAGACGGTGTGGATCTGAAAGCGACACTGTTGCCATATTCAAATGCGTAGTATCTGTAATATACGTTTGACGAAAATATCTTTGGATAAAAAATCCGCATTTATGTATTGAAAATTTATTCATGTTAAACATATAGAATAAACAACAAAAATAAAAATATTTTTATGGGTACTGAACATGTCGTATGATCGAAAAAAGTCGTTTAGTTTGAAAGCAGAACTACGGTACAGTATTTTTTATCAGCTGCGCTGTAAACGACTATCGACGCGCTCAGAATTCTCGGACAGGCTGACGGAAACGCCAGCTACATGTCGGATAGGTCTTGTGCCACGAAATCGCCCATAAGGTTGCTCATCTTCTTATTTCTTTAATCAACGGTTATAATAATTTTTGACAAATTTTGGTAGTGATTTCTACTTACCGCTGGGTTGTAGGACTCTTGGGAGGCAATCGTTCCGATTGCTCGAATTGTACAGATGGCGTGGAGGCGTTCAAATATGGCGTCCTGGCGAATACAGGAAAGGCGGGTGTTTGGGGTCGAGGCGATGAACTATGCGAAGGAGATGTCTCGGCATCAGTGGGTTGGTTTCGCCACGTGTATGTCGTTTGTTCGTACTAAAAGATTAATTTGCTTTATTATATGTTATTTATATACATTTCCGCAAAGCTTAATAATAACTCTTGACCCAAAAATATATAAAAGTAGGTCGTTTTCTGGATTTTGGCATGTCATAGTGAGACCAAATCTCTGTTTGACACGGTCTATTGAGATAAATATCATTTTAGCTCTCACGCTCATTCGCATCATATTGAGGTTAAATCTCTACAGTGTCACGTTGTGGTTTTAAATAATGACAATAGAAGAATGAGTCTTAAAATTCCATAATGTGATCAAAACTCAACGATGATCATTTCATCCGAAAATAAATCTCTATTGAGATAAAGTCTATTAGATTTTGTCTCAGAAGTCATTTCAATCTCATCATAATAGCTGTGATATTTTAAAAATTGAGAATAAAAAAATGTGTGTCCATATTGAGATCAAACCTCAACTTGAAATCAATAGAAAATAAATCTCAAATTGATGCACTCTATTGAGATCAAATCTCAATATGACACTTGTTAGACTTTGCCTACGAAGTTATGTCAATCTCAACATTCAAATTCTAATATTTTAAATGTTGAGAATAAAAAAGAATGTGCCGCATAATGTCATATTGAGGTTAAACCTCAACTTGATTCGCACCAAAGAAAATAAATCTCAACATGGTATTGAGATCAAATCAAAACTCAATTCAGATCAAATCTCAACATGACTCTTAGGTTTAGTCTCAGAATCATACTCATTCGGGACATGTTGAGTTTATATCTCAACAGTGTCATGTTGAGATTTGATTTTTACGGAAGATGATATGCTCAAAATCTAAAAAATATCTAATTATAAAAATACAGACAGTGAAATCTTCGTTCTTTTAAGAAAGGATTTTGATGATGCATTTATTAAATATTTCGTATTTTTTAGAGTTTAATGCTATAAAAAAGTACATATTTCAAGTAACGTATCTATTTGTTTTCACAAGTTGTTTAATGAAAGCAGAGATAACGGAGAGTGTATAATGAGAATAAATCCCAACATGGCTTGTTTAAAGCCCTCGCAATTTAAATTAAATTCATCTTCAAATTTATTACAACGAGTTAAATTAAACGGACTCCTAATAGACTAATAAGAGCGCTTATCTAAATTGTCCAAAGCAAATTTAATTAGAACCTTTTAATTATTTTATAATGTACTATATTGCAACTACCTTCTCTTTCAAATATGAATAGTAATGTTGTCAGTCATATATTGACAAATAAAATATTTTGTCTATACTAACCAAACTTATATTAATGTGTACTACTTCTATTTAAGGCGTATATTAAGTGTCTTGTAAATGTACTTGACAGCAATTAAATTTGATAAAAATATTAAGTAAATAGCGTTTATGAATCAACTTGTAACTTTGTACTTTAGTGAAAAGGTCAAAATTTCAACGAACAACTTTTCTTAGTTCAATACTTTCAAACCAACATAGCTATAAGAAGTTAATAACATTAACCATACAATAAGCAAAAGACCAAAAAAATAAATACAAAAAATAGATAAAAGAATAGAAAAAAAGACAACACACAGAAGAAAACATAATTTAATAAGTATGTGCTCATATAAGTAATACTCCTATAGGGCTAGTAATGACTTTAGGCATCTGCCAAGAAAGTGCAACTGCAACAACACTGCTTGTTGCATTTCAGTTGATTTCAATAAATTCCGACCGCAGCCCTTCAACGGCAGAAATCAGAAATTATCAGTATATATTTCACGCCGCCGCGCCGCGCCGTCCCGGTTACAGTTCATGTTAATATTTAAGTATTTTAGGTTTTTGCTAGTGCGTTTATTGAGACTATAAAACACACAGGTACATTGTGCGATGTAACACTGTTTCGGGTAATAAAAAATAAGCGAAAAATAATTCGAACTAGGCGTCGTGTTGTGTTGTGACAATTTCAAAAGTTGATAAAGTTGCCAAAAAAATGTTAACACGTAACGGACAGCATAATTAGTACTAGTATTACAACAACTCTCCCGAAACAACATTTTATAGCTTCCTAGTTTCTCACACCGATTTGACCAAAAATAAAAATGGATTCAATCAGTTCGACGAAACAAGTGAGTAAACAAAGTGCTCGTTACATAATCAAAAAATTAAATAGATTATATACATATTGCATATTATTGATTATACACATAATACATATATTATGAGAGGATAAAATATAATTTGGAATATTAATGGTATACTTTTTTTAATCGACTAGTGATTAAATGTTTTACGAACATCTTCTAAACTTATAATTATGTACCTTTAAAAATTTCCTTATAGCGGAAATAGCCCAACTATGACACCACTAGCAAAACCGTAACTATGCTCGCTACCGTAGTTGAACTCATTTAAAAAGTTTTTTTAGTTGGAATAATAAATTGTAATACAAGTTAGAGACCTTCTGAAGATATCAAAATATTTACTTTTTTATTTTTATTTTTAGAATTTTTACAAATTATACTTCCTAACACTTTTAGAATAATTAAATAATACATTTTTCGTATACTCGCTATTTCAACCCGTGTATTTGTATATACTAGTTGTTTACGATATTCTCCGATGGTGGCAGCACCGGCGGAGAATGCACCGAGCCTATAAACAAGGAGAAATAGATAACATAACACTAGTATTATGCGATATACAGGGTGGTCCGAACTGTATTCCGGAAACTTCGGAGGCATATTCTGGAGATAAAAATAAGTAAAAAAGTTCGTATAAATATATGTCCTAAAATGCGTAATTTCGGAGATACAGGGTGTAGAAGTTTCAGTTTTATTTCGATTTTTTCCAAATAATTTCTGAAGTAACATCAATATTTGGATGAAAATTGGTGTCTGGGAGTTTTGTGACATGAGAAATTCGATTTTGATGTCAAAATGACTCCTATTTGTAGGGGGCGCCACCTACATGTGTTTTAACCTTGTTTTAACTGTTTTGAAGAGTAATAACTTTTCGTCCGTACCTGTGTAAAACTACTGACTGAAAAAATACACATTTCCATGAATTTTTACGTAAAAAATGTCTCTTGGTAAAAACTGCTACGAGCAACCGTTCTGAAGATATTTAGAATGGAAATAATCAATACATGTCATCACTGACAAAAAATAAGAACACGTTGAATATAGTTATTTGACTGAAATAATAAATTTTTATTTATTTAAATTATTCATAAATTTTTCTGCGAAAAAATGATGATTAAACAGTTTCTGTTGAACTTTTGGCAAAAAGAGATTTCAAATTTATGATTTCAGTCTAATAACTATTTCGTCAATATGTTTAATTTATGTCAATGATGACAGGTATTGATAATTTCGATTACAAATATCTCGAGAACCATTACTCGTAGCGATTTTTACCAGAGACCTTTTTTATGTAAAAAAAGTCGTAAATGTATATTTTTTTACTCAGTAGTTTTATACAGGTATGGACGAAAAATTATTACACTTGAAACCAGTTAACAAATATGTCGGTGGCGCCCTCTATAAGTAGGAGTCGTATTGATATGAAAATCAAATTTCTCATGACAAAAAAAGACCAGACACCAATTTTCATCCAAATATTGACGTTACTTCAGAAATTATTTGGAAAAAATCGAAATAAAAATGAAACTTCTATACCCTGTATCTCCAAAACTAAGCATTTTAGAACATACATTTATACGAACTTTTTTACTTATTTTAATCTGCAAAATATGCTGCCGAAGTTTCCGGAATACAGTTCGGACCACCCTGTATAATCGTTTATGACGATCAGCGGTTTGGAGAATGTCGGTATACCTCTGTATTTAACTTCCTTGCCCTCCTACTTGAATACAGCTGTCTATTTCACAGTCTTACCAGACGATATGTGTTATATATTATTATACACTAGCCTTATACAAGTCTTACTTATATGTATGTGCAAAAGGTGGTTAAGTGAAAGTTAGTACCTGAGGCCATGCCGTAAGGTTAGGACTATTACTAGAATCACTCGAGAGGTTAGCGATGAGGTCATCGAGAGCGTCCAAGCGAGAGTTCTCGTCTCTGACAGGCGAATCGTCACAGTCAGCGCCGTTCGAGATACCCACCGTCGATTGGTTGTAGCGATTGGACGGGTCCGAACCGGTTCCGTACTGGTTCTGGATCAGTTGCTGCCTGCTGGAGTACTGTTGTTGCTGTTGCTGTTCGACCAAGGATAGAAGACCGACGTCCTGGTCGTGTTCGGAGGGTCCACGGGACACTGATCGGATTATTTGGCCGTGGGGGTTGGCAGCAAGTATGCTGGCCGGGTCCGCGCTCTAAAGGTTAGGGTGTAGAGTGATGGTTTAGTTGACAGTTAGATGTGATATGTTCAGTAATCAATGATATAGAAGGAGATAGAAAATTGTTCAGCCATCGTTCGCCGCATTGAATAAAAATATTAAGGAAGGAGTATAATAATAATAATAATAATAACGTTTATCGCGGAGCTATCCCGGCCAGAACAGGATAACAACCAGTTAAAACTGAGAAATAAATAATAAAAAAATAATAACGTTTATTAAAATATCAATGACAATATATTATATAGTGTTCACTGGCACTTGTAAAAAATTATTTTGCATATTTTAAGTTAACTAGGTCATTAAACATATCTCTACCTCGATCAACCATCCATTTTCATACCTCTTTTTTAAACCCAGAGTAACTTTTAACTTCCTTTAGAAAGGTTGGTAAGACGTTATATAATCGAGGTGCAAAAAACTTTGAAGATCTTTGTCCAACAGTTTTAGAGCATAAGCTAGGATAAAACGCCTTATGTCTAGTTTCATATTCATGGTCAACATATTCTATATATATATATATATTTTCCCCTGATAAATGAATTGTATAACATCTAGGCAGCATAGCTGACGTATATCCAGTAGATGCACCTGCTTCAAGAGAACGTTTGAAGAGAAAGATTTGTTTTTATTGTAAATAATTTTTATGAACCATTTTTGAACAGAATACAAGCTTTTTAAATAACATTCAGCCGCATTCACACCCCACCCTAGAATTCCATATGTCAAATGAGATTGTACAAGATACGAGTACAGGATTCTAAGCTGTTTGGCGTCCAAAAAACTTTTCAAATAATTAAATTTCGGCAACAATTCTCGCAGTTTCCAATTTGTAACCCCTAAATATTTTATAAAATCACATTCTGGTATTACATTATTATTGGTTATTTGTAATCGGTCCCAATCTGGTTTATTGTTTTTATAGAGAATGATATAAATAATTGGTTTTGTCGTAATTTAATATTAATTTGTTTTTGGCAAACCAGGTATTAATTGTCTGAAAGTCTTCCTCTGCTAATCTAAGTAAAGTATAATGCTATCCATGCATTCATGCATGGTAGATCAACAAAGGGTGCTAGGTTGAGGATCCTTGACAGTTCTGTTTGACGATTCATTTGAATTTGATTTGAAATTTTATGGATTTGTCACTCTTTATTGAGGTTATTTTATGTTATTTATTTTATTCTACTACTGATAGTTGTTTAAAGCTAGTAAATCTAGAAGGAAATTGTGGCAGAACTTAAATTAACAGTGACACTATTGCGATTTATCGAAAGAGACTGTAAAAGAGTGGTTGTGTAGCGGCGGGAGACCTCGGTCAAAAATCGAGGGAAATAATGGAATAACTTTTCACTAGTAAGTGACTATATAATATACATATACATACGTGTAGTAAACCGATCATTTATGAAATTCACTTAAAATTATCTTATTGTATATTTTTTCTTGCATTTTTGCTTACTTAACAAAGATTAGATGCCAAAGAATTTAGATACATCAATTTATCTGCTTCAGTAGAGTATCAGATGTTTGTGTTAATAATTATTATAACTACCAACATTTATTGACAACGTAAAATAAAACAACAAATTATTGAGTCTACCCCATGTCAACCCTACATCACATTTTTACATGTTTTGAATAAAACTAGAACTAGAATATGCTCCTTCCTTAATTTTTTCATTCAAAGCTCCTTCTATACACATTAACCTACTACTTTGAATGAAGTGTTTTGTTATAAAATAGCGAATTATTTTTTTTTTGTTTTACGTGAACTAGAACTAACAAAATGTTATATAATTTTACTTCTACAATGATTGGTGTGGAAAAAAATTGTGCTATGCAAATAATTTGGAAGAAAGTTATATTTATACTAATAAACAATTTGTGTAATTTCGTGTTGTAATTTTGCAGATATTCTAATTATTTTAATGTTATATTCACGATACATATAAACAATGTTTAAACAAAATTTATGTGTATCGTGGTTATATCTATAGTATGAATTTTCTAAAACAAATACAATAAATAAAAGTTCATAATAGTATGTCAACTTACTTGAGAATGCTTTTCGTGTGCCCGTTTGATCGCTACAAAAGGTCTTTCGTTCCTGTTCAGAGTGGAGTACGTAGATTTTAAGGTACTGTACTGGGAAGAACTGGGAGTGACGGCTCCGTTCCTTTGGTGCATGGTGTTGATGTGGAGCGGCACAGAAAAATCGTCATCATCATCGGCAAACGCCGTGGTATCACTGGTGTAACCATCTATAAATGAATATACAGATATAAGATTACTAATATATAGATATAATACAAATATAAAACTACATTGGAACCTGTAAGGTTGTGAGGTGTAAGGAAAGTTAAATTTCTAGGAGTTGTTTTTCAGGAATGTTTTGGATTTAGTAATCATTACAACTACCTTATTAATAAAGCAATTCTTGGTTTAGTTTGGAACATATATCTATAGTATGAAAACAGAATAGTATGAAATAACAGAATTTTGAGAAGGCCTTCGATTTGGTAGACCAGTGGAAGCTTCTAGAGACTAAGTGAGAGTCACATCGATCATCGATACTCCTCAATCATAAGATATATGATAATGCCACGATACATGTAGAAAGAAAAATATAATGAACTAATTATCATTTTATAATTACTGTTTTATTAATTTATTAACAGTGATCTGCAAGATAGATCTCTCTGATTTGAACAAAACTTTATATAAAGTCCTTATTTCTGTCTGTCAATGAGACTTACCTAATCTATGGCTGGCCGTTGGTCTGGTATGACGTGTTTGAACTTGTCTCAGTTCGGAAAACAACCTGGTCTCGTGAGGTTGCCGTTCTTCCCTCAAACGCATCTCTTTTCTTTCTTTGAGTTTTTGCTGTTGTCTTTGGAGCCATGTTAGGTTACCGTTGGTATATCTGCAAAAAATGATAGGTTGTTAATAAAATATTAATAAAGAATATAATTTCAGTATATCTATTTTTACAGAGATCCGGTATATAGTTAAATAATCGATTAAATTCAGTTCTTATGTAGAGCTGATACACCGGTCTTAACCTACATTTCGTTTGTCTCTGATGCAACAATGAGATAAGACCGAGGAACATATATCGCTCGCCTATCCCCTGTCATTAAATGATTACAGATTATACGCGATAGAAATCGACTGTATAATGAAAACAATAAACGTATTGTTATTGTTTAGCGATGTGAAAGTTAAGGCAATCGTATATATCTGATGACGCGCAATAAGGACTGATCGAGATCATCAATAATTGCATCTTGAAATTGATTCTAAATTTACTAAATCATCACAAAATAAGATACTTGTACATAAACAGATATTAAATCCAGTATGTATTTATGGTTTACAACTTTAGGGATATCCAAAATCTTAAGCCATTTTTTTTCCATTATACTGCTTAATGTGTAAGACCCATTGTTTTTATCTCTTTCTATGTCTGCGTCCAATTATTACCCTATACTTGTGCCCTGCACCAGCTTGTGTAGGTCCTTGATATATCAAGGACGAATACATATCCTTCATTTCTGCAGAACATTAGTATTTTGGTCGTAGCTTAGGTTCCTGTCTGTGTCTCCAGTGGATGGTTTGTTAGTTTATTTTCTCATAATCGTTAAATTTTACTGTAGTAAAGGTTATACAATTGGGTATTCCCAGTACTGGCTGTGGACCAAGATAAGTTTTCGATGATCCTTACCTTGCTAATTCGTTAGTTTTTTTCTTTGCCTAGGATGTGCGATATGTGTGGTTCGGCCTCTAAAGCAGAACGGTTCTGTTCCAGTTAGTGGAGTGTTCGCTCTTTTCTAGCTAGATCGTTTGCTTGTCCATTTCCTTCTATCCCTTGGTAGGCGGGCACCCAGAGTAGGAGGACTTTATTTTCTTTGCATAATTTGTTCAGCTTCTCTAGGCATTCTTTGACCAACTTCGAATTGATGGTTACTGAATTGATTGCTTTTAATGCTGCTTGACTATCGGATATGATGGCCACTTCCTGTTTTCAATAGTTCCTATCTAAGATAAATTGGACGCATCTTTCGATAGCGCAGATTTCTACCTGAAGGATACTTTTTCGGCCCTATCCCTAAATACTCCTATCCTTGTCCCTGCTTTGGGTTTGGAAGCACCAGTATACCACGTTATGGTATGGTCTTTTACCTGCTGAGCAAACGTTTCTCTCTTCCAATCCTTTTTATTGCTCAATACTATAGTGAGGTGTTTCTCAAAGTTGTACAATCTTGGTATGGCATCCACTGGGAGTTCTTGACAATTCTTCCGGTATTGTTTCCATCAATGACCATTCTAACCATTGTCGCATTGGTATATCTACCATTACTATGATTAACTACTTAAAAAAGTACTAAATTCTCCTTAAATATTGTGTTTCAACTAAGTCTTAAGCCTGGTTGACACTGAAAAGAAATACACCAAGTGATCTAGAATGTAGAATGTTTAGGAGGGGAATTAATCACCGCGACCTTACAGATCTCTTGTGTGACCCCCTTTCTTGAGTTATAACGAGTTATCACTCATCATACAGCCTCAGGGCTTTAACAAAAGCCAGTATCTGACACGGCTCTAAAGAGGCCAACTTTCCATCCTCGACATCAGCCGCATCAAAGTTCATGGTACGAACGGTCGTCGTCTTGAGGCTATCAGTGATAAGGTGTTCTGGTGTTTCCCCATTTTCGCCACAGAATATGCATTCGCCGTTGTTTCTCAGCTTCAGCCTACTGAGGTATTCGTTCAGGAGACAGTGTCCTGTTAGAAACCCCGTGACAATCCGAAGATTGTTTTTACTTAAATCAAGAAAAATCTTTGATCTTTGATTGAAAAGATCTTTGATTTTTCTCGGTCGTAAATTCTGAAAAACTTTTTCGATTTTTTAGATTTTTCGAACGTTCTAGTGTGATGTTATAATGAATCTGAAGAAAAAACGCGTAAATCGTTGCACCCAATAATATCTAAATAACTGTCTCCTTTTTATTCCAGGTTTTCCCATTAAAAAATCAAGAGGAGGTCTGATAGATTTCTTTCAAAATTCACCTGAGAATTCCTGCAGTCTTTATGTCGATATACATCTCACTCTGACCTAATTTCTGTTCTATATAAATCCCTCTATCTGTCGATTCCAAATAAGATTGGAGAGGCTGCGAGCAAACGAAAAGGAATAAAGGTAAAATGCAAGTTTACGATGGTGCATAAAGGTGAGTGGAGACAGATGCAGAACGTAAACTCTGCACGACGCGATGCACCTGGAGTTGTTGCAGACTTCTGGAATTAAATTTAGAAGCGGGAGCATATATTATATTAAGGCAGTGAAAACATTTCCCTCTGGAGGAAGATGTGCATAAAATATGATATTTACAGTATATGTTTATGAGCGACGAAATACAGTTTTACTTTTAATAATAATTAATACCTTTCAAAATGCCTTTACTATTTGAAGTAATTGAAGTTGTTGGGCATTTTGAAAAAGCATTTAAAAGATAAAATAAAACGCTGCTAAGACTATCAAAATGTTGATCTAATAACAATTTGACGTTTATACTATTACGTCAAAAGCAACTTTTTTCCAAAGCCTACCATGACTTCACTGAATCGTCGTTTATTGTTCACTGTTATTAATATCTTAATTATTAGATATTAATACATCTGGTATTATGGTATTCTGGTATATCGTCGGTTTTAAAATAAATTAACTGTTTCTATTTTATTTTTTGATTAGAATGGGCATAATCAAGAGGGCTACTGATACCGTGTTGTAAAAATAAGGTAATTAAAGGCTTATTTTTTGGTATTTATTGTAATTTTGCTAATATCTTCGGTTTGGAAGAAGATATCAACATGCGGTTTTCGCTGACTTTTTAAGCTTTTGCTACTCTTTACTATCAGCTAAAATTACATATACTATCGTATTTAATTTTTTTGAAAAAATGCGCTGTGCTTGTTAAATCGTAAGAAAGCGCCCCCTTGCGTCTACGTTCAAACCCTTATTATTATTATTATTATGGTGTAATATAGAATAAGAAATACTCTTTTAAACGAGCTCTCGTTTATTGGATTCTGATTATCCAGAGTCCGGAGTTATTAACATTTAAATAAAGATAGATCTAACCTTCCCCCACCACTTTATTTTGGCAGATAGGGGAAAATGGTTCTAACAAAAAAAATCCATAATTTACTGTTTGACCAGCGGATCTGAAGCTACGGAAGGAATGCGAGAAAAAAAAATCGATATTGCCACGTTTATCTATAAAATTGCAAAATTGCCAGACATGAACTATAAATTTAATATATTTTTATTATATATAATGTGTTTAGCATATATTCTGACGTATATTACTAAGGAATTTTAACGTAGTTCATATTGTTCGATATGTTTTATTTAATAACTTATTTCTTTCATTCTGTATAATCTGCTTATTATGAAAGTTGAAGATTTTTCAACGATATCATTGGCAAACCGGCATCGCCGCGCATGGCCGCCTATTCATCGAACATGATTGGCGAGAGTAATTACAGGATTTGTTACCACGCGGTTGCCATGGCTTTTACGCCTTTCCTATTCGCTTGCTTTATCCCCAACTTCACGGTCTCTTCTGAAAAGAGTAGGAATATTGAATACTATTGAAATATCCAGTGGCGGTGTCATTTTTTTGATCATTATTACTTTATTTCATTATTTTATACCGGTTATCCTAAACTTTATTCCTATATTTTTAGTATATTTGATAGTTAAGTTGTGTTTTATTGTTTTGTTATCTTGTTATAATGTTTTTCGTTCGTAGTTTTTAATTATTAATATCAAGTTTGATCGTATATTTGTGTTTTAAAACGAATAAATTTGTTAAGGGTAAGACGCTACATAGTCAGACAAGAGAAATAATAGCTAATTTATATAGGTAAGTTAATAATAACGTGGATGAAATCTCATTTGGTGTATTTCCTTGTGTTCATAATAGGGTTTGCGATGAAGAAGCTACAGAGAGTTCGCTTGAGTTGCCGCTTAAACGTAAACTTGAGCGGATATTTCTTTATACCGGAGTTAGCGTATCGGCTATAAAAAAATTCACACAGAAGATAAAAAAAAGGCTGAAAACTAACCCCGATAAAATGATATCCTCTCTGGAAAGAAACGACCACGTGAGACTGCTGTCGAAAAGCTCAACGACTTTTTCGAAGTGGTCAGGAATTTGATAAATAGATTTTATCTCGAATTCAAACTCGTCCCCACAATTAGAAAGCTTTTGCAAAAATTGCAGGAAGAATCGAATTTTCCTTTTGCAGGGAAACGCTTAGGGGGTTATTAAAATCAAATGAATTTTTTTGGCGTAAATGTTAAAATAACAGATAAATATTAATGGAGCGGCCCATTATATTGCAGAGAGAGATATAAATATATATACGCGAAATTCGAAAATATAGCCAAGTATTATCTATTTGGATGTAACATATGGGTAGACAATGACCTAACCTTTAAAAACTGCTGGCGGAGCGATACCATATCTGGTGTAATAGGCAATATCAGATCTACTGATGAGTAAAATTATGTTTTGTTTGCGCTTCCAAAGTTAACTATTTTCAAGATTTTTTTTTGCTGGAAATAGTTATATCTAAAATTATGTATTATAGAAAAAAATATAGTTAGTACAGATATATAAATAAATATACCTCAAGACTCAGTCTTGATCATCTGCTGATGGCAGACATGGTTAGCGAAACGTGCGTCCAGTGTAAAATTAAAAGTGTTTTGGTGTATTGTACTGATTTAGTGTTCTATTTTGCTGTGTAACACCAAAGGTTCCAACCCCCAGCTGTAATTATTTCTTCTATTATATTAACAACACAATAATAAAATGATTCAAAATATTTAAGGGAGCTTTAATAAAAGCTTTT